ATTACCTAGATTTTGGCTAAATCTCACCTATACATGTAGGATGGATGTTTTGTTTTTGTTGTGTTTGTTTTGTTTTACTTTGCTGTTTTGTATGTATGGATAATAATAAAAAAGATATAAAACATTTTAAGTCAGAATGCTGCAAAACTTTTGCAGAAGCACTGGAATGGTGTAAAAAGAGTGCTGAGATATTTAAATGGAACCATACATTGTAAACTAAAGTTAAATGTATCTAACAATCTGAATGTAGAATATTATGCTGATTCAGATTAGAGTTCATGTAAGATTTATAGGAAATCAATTTCAGCAATGGTAATAAATCTAGGAGGGGCTTTGATAAGCTAGAAAGCTAGAAAACAAAATGCATTGTATTTTTCTGTGTATACGACTCCCCAATGTATAAAATGATTTTTCCCTTGCCGGAGGCGGAGGAGCAGTCAATGGGCTGCCGCGAGGGGCAGCCCAGTGTGGCTGCTCCTCCATCTCCGCCGCCAGGTTGCCTCCTCCAGTGCGACTTGCTGGGTCTCATCTCCAGCTCATGTTGCCACCTTGCCCCCTGCCCGAAAGGAGCCCACAAGTGGCACTGGAGGCGGCGATTTGGCAGTGGCGGCAGCAGTCAATGGGCAGCGGTGAGGCTTTGCCTCCATCTCTGCCTCCTGCTGGTGTTGCTGAGCTCACGAGTGGCCCTGGAGGAGGCAATCCAGCAGCGGAGGCGGTAGCAGCAGGAGGCGGAGACAAGAGGCAAAGGAGCAGACGCACTCGGCTGCCTCTCGCTGCTGTGCCACTCGTGGGATCCCTTCAGGCAGGGGAGAAGATGGCAACGTGAGCTGGAGGTGAGCCACGGCAAGTCACACTGGAGGAGGTGATCAGGCGGTGGAGGCAGCAGTCTATGGGCAGCCGCGAGATCTGGCTTTGTGTGGCTGCTCCTTTGCTTCCTCCTCCGCCTCCTTCCATGTATAAAACAAGCCTCAATTATTCCTCTAATGATTTTAGGAAAAAGTGTCATTTTATACACAGAAAAAAACAATAGTTGGCACTAGCATAGCTGAAGCAGAATATGCATCATTAAGTGATTTATGTGGAGAAATCACATGGTTTGTTCAGTTGCTTAAAGATGTGAACATTAAAGTTGATTTACCTGTCACAGTGCACAGTGACAGCACAATGTGTATTCAGTTAGCAACTGATAGTCGAATGAAAAGTAGAAGCAAGTACATTTGTATAAAGTTGTGTAATGTGAAGAGTGCTGTGGATAAAAAACTGATAAATTTACATTATTATTCAAGTGAAAATAGTATTGCTGATATTTTCACAAAGCCATTGACCATGCAGAAACATGTTTATGTAATAAAATTGGTCTATACAACAATTAATTTAAAGAGGGGTGTTGATATTTTTAATCTAAATATTTATTAAATATAATGTATAGTGAAAGTAAATGACTTAAATAATCTGAGTCATGTACTAAGTGGATTCAGGTACTGTATGTACCAAGGTTGAAAACTTGATATTGTATAGCTGGAAAAAATGATTTAATCTTATGTAACTGTAAGATGAAGTAATGTATTTTGTGATTGGTCCCAAGGATGTGTAAAAGGACATGTGTAAAGGGGACATCTTATCTGCTGTAAATCAGATCATTTATTTCTATGCTACGTATTGTATCATGACATGTCATGCTGCCAATTGAATGTCTGAATGTCTATGCTCTCTGTATATTTGTAAATAGGCTATGTTGAATTTTATTACCTGTGTTATAGTGTCTTTGCAACCTGATATCTCCTAACGCTGCTTATGTCCAGAAAACATTAACAAATTCTCAACAGATTTCACCAACCTCAGCAGAAAGTTTGTATGTCCCATCATAAAAATGATCTTTGAGAAGTTGTGCTGGCCAGATTCATGCATTTTGAGTAAGCATAGCAGTGGAGTAGGGGAGAGTACAGGGTTTGGATTGATAAAGAATGCACAGGCTGGGGTGAGTGAAAAAAACAAAATCTGTCGGCATGGACAGGGAGAAAGAGTAGATTCGTGGCAGACTGGGAGTGAACACAAGAGAATGTTGCACTGGAGAAAAAGAATGCAGTAGTGTGGGAGAGCATAGGTGCACTGGAAGGGAGAGAAAGTGTGTGGTGGGGCAAAGAGAGAGCATGCATGTGGAAGTGTACAGAAGAGCCATGTATATGACAGAGGATGAAAGCATGTGCTGGTGGGAAGAGTAAGCCAATTTGATGAGAGAAGTATGACAAATTAAGGAAGATGGGAGCTGGATAGAGAATGAAGCAAGGCCACTTTCAAACAGCATGTTGTCCAGGACCATTTTGTGTTCGGCAGCAGAGGGTCAAACTAAATGTTAAAGAAAATGTGCATTCTCAGCCAATGGTTAACCCAGCTCCCCTCCCAGCAGCTTTTGGGTCAGTTCCAGATCATGAGATATTTCAAAATCTGAGCAAATGTTAGGTTGAACCCAATTATTGCATTTTATTCTTCACCCTGAAACCTTGGAACTGTATCTCTCTTTTTCCTTCTCTGTATTTTTTTCTCCAGAGTTAGCTGCATATATGCACTTCTATTTCTGCTTGCTATCAATTACACTGTGTTAATATGTTCAGTCAGAGACATACTGTATAGAATCTGTATAGTTCTCACCAGACTTAATGAACTGTTAGCTTATGTTTCTGCTTGCTACTTTTGTCATTTTTATTTAATATCTTAATGTGTGATGCTAAATTTTGCTTTAATAAACCTAATAATTTCCGTGGTTCTTTTCTATAGTGTGTCTGTGTCTCTTAAGATGCCAGGTTTCTCTGCAACTTCCAGGATTTGTTACAAGATCATTATTGGCATCAACATTCCATACCTGAATGAGCACACTTCAGTGGTAATCCATTTGATAATGAGGAGATACCCTATTCTAGAGCCAAGTGTTCCAAATGTTCTATGGGGACAGGGTATTCCTCACTAAGGCCTGGATGGGAAACACAGTCACATCCCTTTCCAGGTACTCCTTGCAGTGGCAGTGTTCTCTTTCATATTATATATATAAAGATAGACTATACAAGATTAAAATCACCCAATCCCTTTTGATCTGAAGGGTTCAAACAACTTGTGTTTATATAATTCAAGATGTCCAGTTTTGAAGGACAGATTCACCATCACAATGAACATAAATGCAACAGTGGGACATGGATTGATTTGGATGCAGTCACTCATCATAGTTGTCCTGATACGACACTTTCAGGCAACTTCCTGTTTGGCATTTTGGTATTGAAAAAAATGTGATATGTATTATACACATCATTTTTATTATAGATGCTGGTGCCATTTTCCCCCTCAATTTTTGGTATCAGGTGTCTTCTTTCATGGCTTTTTCTTGCAGATGTAGGTTCAGTACTATGCATTATGCATTTGCACTCCTTCAGGATGGCAGGAACATTTAGCTCTTCATTTTTCCCTGATAGAATGATCTAGGGCAGTGGTTCCCAACCTTGGACTACAATTCCCAGAAATCCTGGACAGCACAGCTAGTGGTGAAGGCTTCTGGGAACTTTAGTCCAAAACCATCGGAACCCAAGGTTGATAACCACTGATGTAAGGAATGGCACATAAGCAGAATCCCTAGTCTCATATTATTGAGATGCCCAAAGGAAGACACAGTCACAAAGCTACAATTGTCTCTTGGAATTGGAGTACGTAGTTACATAGTATATTGGATAAACCATGGGCTTGCATCTGAATTAATTCCCAGCACAAGGTGAAAGGGGGCCTGCTGTGTGGTCTGTCTTTGGATATTCACCATCCTGACTATGATCATTTAAACAGTCCTTGGAAAAGACAAGAGGCCGGAATCCTATGATTTATGTCAAGCTTAAGTATAGTGATGTAAATTATAGTACTTGTTGCTGCAAGTTAAAAAGCCACCATTTGTATATCATATGAGGAAGTCATGTGACTTGGCGCACTATGAGATAAACAATACTCGGCTCATTAATCAGTATCAATGCACGGCAATTTATGCCATTCTAATTATGCCAGCATAGTTTACCAATAGGATTCTCATTACTATATAAAAATATACTATATCATGTGCTATAACAATATATATAGTATAGAAATTATTACCGTTATCTACCAACTTCTGAGGATATACTCCCATATGCTTCACTGCATGTATTTGAGCTAATGAATTCATGTGTTCCCTAATAAAGCAATTATCAGTTAAAATTCAGACACCAACAGATGTGATACAATTCCCATTCTATGTTGGCCTGCAGTGCTGCCAGATACATTGACATTATAAGGCTGTGTAGTGTACTCTAGGCTAAGACACTTAACTATTAAGCATATAAAAGGGCACTAAGTTGGAACACTAGACAACCAGCAGATGTCTTCTCACTTGTTCGGAATTCTCCCCTTCCTTCCACTCTGTGATAGCTCACCACTGTCACCAGCCTCCATAATATGCTCTGTAGAATCCTCCAACTGTCCAGAAAACATTTTGAGGGCATGCTGGTCCAGAGGGGAATGGACCTTTCCTCCATTTTACTGATGGCAGGACCAAAATATTTATATGCTTCTAGTTCTCCATTTTTTTGACCCTTTCAATAATATCTTCATTTATATAAATATAGGGAAAATATATCAATGTGGAGCAGGTTCAGCTTATCTTCACATGCTGACGTAGTCACTGACAACAAGACAGAATGCTTAGGACCTATGCATTTGGAATTCAGTCAGCAAGTCAGTCACTAACCCTTGTGGGACAAAAAATTCTACCAAACCAAAAGGCATCAGAGTAGCCAAAGAACTTGATTGGAATTGTGGAGTTAGAAGATATACACATTTATTGCCCTGCTAAACTGGACCATTATTTCTTCCTTTTCCTGCTCTAGGTTATATGGCAGTGTTTTTTGTTGTTGGTAGTGTGCGTGTGTTTTGGTGGTGGTGGAGGTGGTGGTGTTTGTGTGTTTACTCACACTGATCTTCCTGTATCCTTTCAGATGTGGACCAGGATGAAATGGAATATAATAGAAGCAGTGTGTGCCAGGTTGTATCCATGGGACATGCCACTGATTCTAACAATGCATCTATCAAAATGGATGAACTGGCAAGTTCTGTGACTGAGGCAGGTCACTTCAGCTGGAAAGGTGTGTGAAATTTTGAGTAAAGTCTGGATAGAAGAAGTAAAGTGTGAAAGGCTTCAGTTCTAACAGGAAGCAGTCTATGCTAAGTCAGACTACTGGTTTGCATTGTTCAGTATTGTGAGAATAATTTCAGAAATGTATTTAAATAAATCATTGGATAGCCATAGATAGCTAGTTAGGACTTGTTATTTTGATCTGTTTTAGTTTTCTGTAAGTGAATACTTGCAGTTTGTTGCTGTTAACGTCAGTTCCTACATAGATCACCCCTACTTTCTTTTTCTTTGTTTTCTTTCCTCTGCAATGGAAGGCCTGTTATGACAGTTTCTTCATGTTGACTTTCAGCAGAAATGCACACATAGAAGTGAACTACAGAGGCATCTATTTACAAGTCTGTTGTATCCTAAATGGGTTTCTTGGATCAATTTCTTATTTCAACGGCATAAAGGATGGCTTTGCATTCATAGCCGTTGTTTTACTAGCCTGTATTCCACTAGCTAGAGAGAGAATTTAGATTTACTATACACAATGTTTGCGTTGACTTTCTGATCAGGAAAGCCCGGCCAATCAGCACTGACAATACTGAGTGGAGAGAGAATTTAGATTTACTATACAGAATGTTTGTGTTGACTTCCGGCCAATCAGCACTGACAATACTGAGTGAGATGGATCAAGTATAACGCAGCTTGCTTGCTCCCTATTTCGTTACCCCTTTTGTCAGTCATGGGGATGCTGATATGTGACCATACAGGCTTGTTAGCATCATCCATTTAAGGGACATTCCTTTCTCTGCTGCTGCTCTTGAACTTTGTCCTTTGTGGCTAATTAAAGAAACAAGATAAGGTCTGTCTATGCTTATCAAGGTGGTTATTGTTTCCTTGACAAGGAGACCCTTGTTCTGCAGTAATATGGTACTGTACCTGGTGATTGAAGTAACTATTGTTGCATAACAAGTTCTGGAGAAGACGCAGAAGAGTGTTGAGCTATCTCAACTCCAGCTATTTTTTGCTGAAATTAATTAGTTTCCCTTCCAGTTCTGACTTCTGGCCTAGTTTGGTTGCTGGAAATTTTGGTTTAGAGTCACTGGGAGTTGGGGTCTACAGGCCAGAAAGGGCAGTTTAAGATGGCCTGCCCTAGGAAGCTAATGACTCTGGGTCAGTTCCTGATAACTCTTGTGGATCTGTCTGTCACCTGAGGAGATTATTTTTGTTGAAGTCTACGTTGATTTCAACATAGACTTCAACAAAACGTGAATTTGACCCAACTCCGGGAGGCAGTGGAAGATAGGAGGGCCTGGCGTGCTCTGCTCCATGGGGTCATGAAGAATCGGATACGACTTAATGACTAAACATTTCTGGAAAAAGAAATAGTTTGGCAGTGGATGCAATCACTTCTGAGATTACCTCCTGTAGCGAGCACGCTGAAGCCTGTACCAACTCAGGCCGCCAGGAGTGCTCACTCTTCTTCAGTTGCTGCCACCAGGTATTGCTGTTTCAATACCAGTAAGTCACTGAATCATGTGTTTCTTTAAAACTTAAACTTGTTTATTGGTTTAACAAAATAAAGTAAGTAAATCACAGGATGTTAATCAAGGTCTCTCACTCACTGACACACACAGACTCTTCCCTCACTGACTGTTTGGCTCACAGGCCCTTAGACACTCTCATCACTATCTCTCACAAAATCTCTCTCTAATCTCTCTTCCTCATCATACACCCCTTTATATATTCCAGCTCCTCCCCCTTCTGCACCACCCTCCGTCCCCTCATTGGCTGATGTTCCACTGCCCAGCTGTGACGGACAGGTGAGGGCAGGGCTGAATGCTACACCTCCCAATAAGTAGAACCAAATTAGTCTCTTGGTTCTATAGAAAGCTGGCTGTGTTGAAAAGATTATGGTGCTTTGAGTAGTTTTGGCAGAAAGCTTAGTATACGTCTGATTGAATATGGTCAGAGCCCACCTGAAGGCCTATGCCAGGAGAGTAGTAGCTGAAAAGAAATTACCATTTTTTTCGTGTATAAAACAACACTTTTTCCTAAAAATAATTAGAGGACAAATTGAGTGTCGTTTTATACACGGAAGGAAGCAGTCGCGTGCGCGCTCTTGCTGCCACCGCCGCTGCCCAATTGCCTCTTCCAGAGCTCACGGCTTGTCCCCTCTGGTGTCCCCGAGGCAGCAGCAACAGGAGGTGGAGGCGAAGGAGCATTCACACGCGCTTGGGTGCCTCTTGCTGCTGCCTTTCCCGCTCACCCAGTCACCACCTGGATCACATTGCTGCCTTGTCTCCTCCGGTGGTGGAGGCAGGAGGCAGAAGCGGAGGCAAACAAGCACTCGCATGCCCTCAGGCGCCTCTTCCTGGTGCCGCTGTCAGAGCACCTCTTCCCACAATCTCCTTAGGGCAAGGGACAAGGCAGTGACGTGAGCTGGAGGTGAGCAGTCACACTGGAGGAGGTAATCAGGCGGGCAGTGGAGACAGCAGCAGCAGGAGACAGAGGAGCAGTTGCCCATTAACTGCTCCTACGCCTCCATCAACGGTCAAAATTAGGGGAGCGTTACATTGAGGGGGGGGGTCGTATACACAGTAAAATACGGTATTTCCTGTGGCACCAATACGTCGGTTTAATTTTGTTGGGTGTTAAAAGCCTCTTGTGCTTTGGCCATAGAGAACATAATGTAGAGCACTCAGTAGCCTGTTTTGACCAATTTGCAGAACTCTTTGCTGATAAAATGAGAACATAACTCAGTAGCCTGTTTTTACCAATTTGCAGAACTCTTTGCTGATAAAATTGTTTGAATCTGTTCTGATATGACTGCTATTGCTGATGTTGTAGATCCATTAAATGTAACTGGTGTAATGGACAGAGGTTTGATTACTGCCTGTCCATAATAATAAATATGTTTCAATTTATACAGCACCATATAAGTGATTGCTTTTATAAGCCTTTCCTGGCTTATGAATGGGATTTTTAACTAGCTGGGCATGCTGAAAAGCAGTGTTCTGACTCTTAGCTGTATCATTTTCTTCTGTTTCTTCTGAAGGAATGTCCTAGGCCCCACGGATGCAGAATGGGGAGAAGTGAGAAGAGGCAGACCACTGTTAGAAGGGAGGAAAATTTCCTAGGAGGCAGTGAAACAGGGGTAATCAGAACTGCAGGAGGACAAACCCCCATTTTCTCCAGAGTTATTGAGCCTCAGAGTGGAACAGGGAAATGGGCAGGTTGCATAGACTTTATCTGAAGGGCATGTTACTTGTCACAATATTTGAGTATCATATATCCAAATCATGGTTTATTAAATTGACAAACTGCAGAAGGCACTGAAATCTGATACCCACAGTAATCCTTTGGATAAGTGATACAAAGGAGAGGAGTGTCATTGCATTAGTGCTTGGTAGGCAGCTGAGACAACCCAGATGGATGCAATTCTTATAAACAAATCCAGCTTTATTTTTGTTTTTCATAAATTACAGACCCTTTACAGGAAGGCATTAAATTCCTGTGCAAAGAAATTCCATGTGGATATACTTCACAGCCCAAGAGGGAGAATTCCTCTTCATATCCCTATGGCATTGGAGCACACATCTCCGTCTACCATATACTGGATATTCAGAGGATGTGGAGTGCATGTCTCACTGTGCTGCAGATGGAGGAAAATGTCAAGGGAGCCCACTTCCTTCCTCCCATAGAGAGTCAAACATGAATCTTCGCAATTCACTGCTGCCCACTGTGCAGGAGGTGCTGAAACAAGGAGTCCGGCTTCTGGCTGAGAACAGCAGGGGAATCCAGTTCTGCCACCTTCCCAGCATGCATCACCAGCACTCGGTCAGAGTCCAGGATCGTGTTCAGCCTAGCAAGAAGAAACAGGGCAGTGTGATAAGGTAAGCTGTGACTTTTGGAAAGGGCAGGAACATTTGAAGGGCTGCTCTCTTTTATTACTTAATGGCGTTGATACAATCCATTCTGAACTGTGCAATCTGTGAAGTAAAAATCACATGACAAGCATACATACACACACACATACACCACACACACAGAGAGCAAGTTTGAACTCTCCCTGTACTATCTGTAAAATGGATTAATCGTTTTCCAGAACATCTTCAGGTATAATTCCTCTGTTCCTCCTTACTATACATAACACAACTGTAGTTAAAGTTTGTGCAAGGTTGACTGTGTTAGCCCAGTCTCTGTGATCAGTGGTTCTTAACCTTTGTTACTCTGATGTTTTTGAACTGCAACTCCCAGAAACCCCAGCCAGCACAGTTGGTGGTGAAGGCTTCTGGGAGTTGCAGTCCAAAACTCCTGAGTAACCCAAGGCTAAGAACCAGTGTCTGTGATAAATGGATATATTTCCTGATGGAAGCAAGTCTGTTAGCATGCCCAAAAAACAAACAAACAAACAAAAACAGCACACCTTAAGAGGGAAGCAATTTATAGCATTTTGGCGAAGTACATGCACTAAAAATCTTTTAAAATTTTATTTTTAAATTTCCAAAACAAATACAAGAGTACAAAATACTTACTAGCAGTAAATGTGTTGAAAATGGCTCTTTTGTACTAATTACAAAATTAAAAAACTCATATCCAGCTTGGATATCTTATTTGGAATAAATATGATTAAAGTGTATCGCCCTTGCACTATAATGTATCTGAATAAATAAATGATAATACAAAATTTGGTTGATTTATCCATTAAAATCTACTTAAATTTCCACATAAATAAAAACAATACTGAAGGAGAAATACTTCCTTTGTTTTTAGACAATGGAAACATGTGTAGTAGCAGGCATGGTAGTTTTTCCAGGCCTCGGTCAGATGCCTAGGCTAGTGAAATGAAAAATCTCTGTCTGAGAGCCACTGCCAGTCAGGGTAGTCAATACTGTCCTAAATGAAGAGTCTGATCTGGTATCAGGCAAATTCCTTATATTGATAGCATAACAGACATTCACCTTTCTCTCATATAGGAAAGAATACATCTTTCAACAACAATTAGAACTTGCAGATTGACAGGCAGTTAGTTTTGTTTTTTAATTTGAGGACTAAACTTTTTTGTCCATCTGAAATTTTAAACCAAATAATTATCTGAATACATTTCCTTTGGTATTGTTTATGGAAATTTTAAAGACATTCTATTAGAGCTTTGATACTAATGAAAGTGCCCTGAGACACTTCAGATTTGTAAATCTGTCATCTGCTATGCTGATTTATTTTAGCAAAAAGTAGCATTTTAACTGTTAAGAGAACTGGTAGCACCAGTCCCAGAAAGAAGTAAAATTAAAACAAGGTGATCAGTAAGGACTGAATGACATTCTGCCACTCCTTTGAGACTTAACAGCAGAAGCAAAACAAGGGACAAAACATCACCTGTGAGCAATCGTCAGGACAGTTTTGTCTGCAAATCGCTGGCGGATGGTCTGCTGGAGCAATCTGTCTGTCTTTTGATCCACACTCACTGTAGCCTCATCAATGCAGAGAATCTATTATTTAGAAAAAGAGAAAAAAAACATTACTCAGATGCGAAGAACAGCAAGTGTCACTTCTGCAATGGTGAGGAAACTTTGTCCCACCAGATGTTTCAGGCGACACCTCACAATTTCTTATTATTGGCCATGCTGCATGGAGCTTTGAAAACATGGGAGGCATCCCTGATTGTCTGGCCAGCTTTCAGTGTTTGCTGTCTCCTGAAATTTAGTTTTCATGATTAACAGGCACTGATCTAGCCTTTATAAATTCAACTTGCGTCTTTTGACAGTAGCAGAACCCACATCCTGCGCAACAAATCCCATAAATCATTATTGCTATTAAGATCTGAACAAAATAGCCTTTCTACTTAGGGATGGTGCTCTGTGATCTCTTTTTGAGGGCAACCAGAACCACTTAACACCTTACAACTGAATATCCCTTACGGTGTGGTTCTTTCTTGGTCAAATACGCCATGGTTGTCTTAAACCCTGTAGTATATGAAACACATTGCACTTGTCTCATATTGGAAGCTTTTGTTGTGTGTGTTGGGAGGGGGAGCCATTTTGAAAGGACAGCACTCACCTTTGCCTGGGTCAAGAGTGCCCTTGCTAAACAAACTAGCTGCCTCTGTCCTGCAGAGAGGCTCTTGCCTCTCTCCCCCAGCTCACCATCCAGCCCACCTGCAAAGAAAGAGAGTGAGTCTCAGTGTAGGATTCCTGAGTACATCCTGTCTACTCAGAACCTATTTTAAGGAAAACAGGGACAGAAGATGTGGGGAAGGAGCACTTTGGGCTCTTTGGAAATTATCCATTTAGACTTTTGGCAAAGACCGAGGTGGTGGAATGAGGGAAAATAGAAAATGGACAGAGTGCAGAAAGATCAGGAATAATCTTTACAAATCAACAGCTCAGACTTTTTCCAAGAGTCTTCTTTCCCCATTACAGGAAGGGAGGAAAAGAGAAGGGTAGTACGTAGGAGAGCAGGGATGACCATATCTATTTTTGGCCTCAGTCCCACCTAATATTATGTGTCCCCGACACGTTGCCTGTAAGGAGCTCAACCCTTTACAGATTCTTAACTCACCCATTTCTGCAATCACTGCCTGCAGGTGGCACTGCTCCAAGACTTGGTGCAAGTCAGCATCTGTGTATCGTCCCTGAGGGTCCAGGTTCTCACGGACTGTCCCACTGAACAAAAAGGGGTCCTGAGGGATTATGGCCAATCTAGACCTGAAAGAGTAGATAGAGAAAAACTTGTCAGTTTAGAGATAATGGTGACTGTTCAGCTGACATCCTGGAACTGCCCCGTCCCATCAAATTATACCAGCCGTGGGCAGCCTCCAGAGATCTTAGGACTAGACACCTACCCCACACTTTGGAGGCACACTCCCACACTCCATCTTCTCCATAACATTTTTAAAAATTAACTTAAAAACCTTTCCCATGCCCTTTAATAGCCGATTTTATAATTTAAAAATTGTGGGCAGTCCTGCCCCCCAAACATGGGAGAACTGCCTCTCACACTTCCATGGGGCACAGCGGGTCTTTTGGGGCATGTTTTATAAATTAAGAAACTGTGGGGTGAAGGGCAGGGCCCTCCATGGATGCTGGGGCTGCTTTTAAGCCCTGGAAGAGGGCTGTATGCATCCTGCAGAAAACCCACTGACCACCTCTGCATTAAATTAACCTTTTAAACTCCTGAAAAGGGAGCCAGAAAACACTGAACCCATTGTCCACCCTTCAGAGAAATATTTGTGGTATAATCTGCTATGGCAAGGTCAAAGAGCCAAGAAAGGACTTCCATTACGCCTTTGCCAGTCATTATTATGCTGATAAACATAGTTCTGATGGAACATCTATAGCACTTACAAGGGTATCTTGTCGGGATGGACTTTCAAAGATAGCTCAGTGGTTTAATCCAGGGTCCCCAACCCCCGGTCTGTGGCATGGTGCTGATCTGTGGCCACGGCAGGAACGGGCCACGGAGACAGATCTCCTGCCCCCCCCACTCCACCCACCCACCCCACCCGCACGCATGGCCCACCCCTTTGTGCATGCATGCGAGCATGCCCCTCTCCTCCAGAAGAGCAGCCCACCCCTCCGCACATACACGTGAGCACATCCCGCCCACCCGTAAGCATGGGGGTGTCCCCACGTGAACAGACCCCACCTCACCAATTGGTCTGCGACTCAGAAAAGGTTGGGGACCACTGGTTTATCTATCTGGCTGTGGAGCAAGAGGTTGAGAGTTTGATTCCCCACTAGCTGGCCTTTGTGGCCTTGGGCAAGCTGCACAGTCCTAATGCGCCCTCAGAAGAAGGGAATGGCAAACCACTTCTGAGTATTCTTTATCTAGAAAACCTTGAAAGGGGTTACCATATGTCAGAATTGATTCGACAGCACATATTATTATTAATCTCAGGCTACCAGCAACTGCTGGAATTAAAAGACGATTTCTAAACCAAATCCTCAGTGTCTTCTGCCACTATCCCTTTTGAATGTGACCTACCTCAGTTTCTTTAAGCCTACAGAATGGCTGTCAATGTTGTCCAGGAGAATACGACCAGCTTTCAGTTCCACCATACGGAAGAGGGCTAAAAAGAGAGTGGACTTGCCAGACCCAGTACGCCCAACGATACCGACTTTCTCCCCAGGATAGACAGTGAAAGTTACCCCATCAAGGGCATTGGGTAGGTCAGATCGATAGGCCAGTACTACTTGCTGAAATTCAATGTGACCTTGACTTGGCCAGTCAGGTGCAACCTTTAAAAACAAGAGAAAATTTTTAAATAAAAATGAACAACAATACCTCCCAACAAAATGTTAATAAAAATGAACAACAATACCTCCCAACATCTGTTGCTGACACTTTTTGATCTGTGGTCTCCATGACCATTAGCAGGAGTAGGCTAGATTGCCATGTATCGATGTTTACTACCATCTCAGTCACAACAGTGATACTGGCTCCCATTTAGGACCTATGAAGGGCTTAGGTCTGGTGGAAATGATGGACAATGGCGAAGCTGCCCTACATAGTATCAACCCAGACTAACTGCATGTCAGGAGAGCTTTTAGTCTTGCTCATGTCTTCAGGGATGTCGTCACAGGCGATTCTGTTCTGGAGGGCTCCTCAATGATCTGGGAAGCTACACTAAAGGGTTATGCAGAAGCTAGGGATGTCCTTTGAGGAATGACAGCAATTGGAACTAAGAACTCTGTGTACAAACTGTGCCTCGAGATAAGCTGACAGACTTTCCTTTTTAATCATTTTTTGCTTGACTTTAAAAAAAATATCCCGTCCTCTGCCTCCATTCCTGCTCACTAAGAGAACTACACGATGAAAAGAGTATGTACGGCAAGAAGCTCAAAGCAAGCAAACCAACCAACCATCCTGTTATCACAGGGAAGGCAAGATGCACACAGAATAACGGGTGAAAGACTAGAGATATAGATTAGAGAAAGGAGACCTCCAGAGTCCTTTGGGAGAAAAGGCTTATCCAGGATGCGGTCCTTCACTGACTGTGCTGACGTTATAAACATCTCTGTAAACTATAATGAGAAACTACTGTGAACCAAAGCAACCTGTGCATTTTAGATGCATTTTATGGAATCAGGTCATCTGAGCAATATAGTTACATGTCTGTAAAAGGTCCCATGCATGGCAGCCTTACCTGGAGCAGCTCCTCCTGTGGCTCTATGGGAATCTCTGTGGCATATTCCTCTGCCCGTTCCACACTCACCATCATGGTCTCTGTCTGGGTAAAGCTGGTGATGAGACCAGACAACAAGTTTGTAACTGACAGGGCGTAGGAAAGGGCAAGCCCCACAAGACCTGAAGGTACAAACGAAGGCAGTGTCAAAGATTGTCAGGGGAACACAAGCAGGGAAGTACACCTCTGAAATGAAGCAAAGGCAAGAGCAAACTCATGGAATGAAGGATCGCCTGCCCTGCTCCAAGATAGGAAGAAAGACTGAACAGGGGACCCAAAGACCAAGATTATTGAGAAAAATTATTTTGTGGAAAAAATGATGGGGGTGATTTTCTTTTGCAAGTTCAAGATCTAACTGTCATCCCCAGAGCTTTAGAAAAGTTCAAGACTAACTAGTAATTCTTTCTTTTCTTGTTCGGTGCTTTCATTGCAGCTGATTTGCCAGAACTGCCTCATGGCAGTCTCAGACAAGATTTCTATTGCCTCCTTGCTTGTGGGCTGCTACTAACTAAGTTATCAAACTAACTTCACAGGCATGTTTACAAAAAGAAAACACTGCCTCACTATAAAGGACTTCAGCTACATGACTGAAGGTCACATCCTGACCTCAGATAGGTGTATATTACTTCCTCTGTCCTTTTCTAAAGAGAAAGATGAGGACAGTGAAAGAGAAAACAACACATACAAGTGAAAACAGAGTGCAAACAATAGTTCCATAATATTCTGCATGTTGCTGTTGACAGTATAGCCTGCATGTCCCAAAACACTCTTCAGTTTCTTTCCATTTTCCCAGTTCTTTCCATGATCCCTTCTTCAGAATAAGAGCCAGAAATCCAGGATTTACTCCTCAGGGTGAGGGGAGAGAGAAGCATACTGTGATAGAAGGGGTGACATAACTGGGACTTCTTCTGAGTCCCTTAGGTACCTGGGTTTCCCAGTTTCTTCTGGTGTTGGATGATGGCAATTCCTGCAATAGCTGTAACTACAGCAACTCCAATCATCTGCAGCCTAATGTCCAGCCACTGCATGGCAGTGTTGCTGGCAAAACAGCAACGCTGGTTCAACTCTAATCTCAGCTGGTTTTCTGTCTCAAACCTAGATTGAATACAGCCCAGAGATCAATGTTATTTATAGATTCATTTATTCAAAATATTTCACCCGATGTTTCTCCTTTAAAAAAAACAACCCAAGGCAGCTTACATAATTAAAAAAACAGTATTTAAAACTAAAAACAATACATATTAAAAAGAAATAAATACCACTTTGAGAAATGGTAAACAAAAGCAATAGTAAAACACAGTCAAAACAATAATGCATAACAATCCATTTAAAAATCCCACTCAGGAAGCCTGTCACTGAGGGAAAGTTTGCCTGAAGAGAAAGGGCTGTGCCTGCTTGTGGAAGGACAGCAAAGATGGTGCCAGTCTGGCTTCCTGTGGGAGGGAGTTCCAAAGTCTAGGGACCCAGAGAAAGGCATCTCTTGATTATCTTAACACCCAAATAGGCTCATAATAGAAGACACGGTCTTTGAGATAGCTTTGACCAAGCTGTTTAGGGCTTTAGCACTTTGACATGTTTCTGGAAATGGATTGGCAACCAGTGGAGCTGATGTTTCTGAAAATGGATTGGCAACCAGTGGAGCTGCTGTAATTGGGTGGGGTGTGTTATGTGATTCCTATAACCCGTCTCTGTCGACAATTTGGTTGCTGCATTTTGAATGTGCTGAAGTTTCCTGAAACTTTCCAGAAGCAGCCCCACATAGAGCACATTACAGTAATCTAGCCAGGAAGTAACTAAAGCATGTGCCATGTATAGTTCCTCTGTACAGTTTTCACCGTTTCTTTTAATAGCTGGTGCAGAGACAAATCCTCAAACCAGCTCACTTTGACTTGGCGAAAGGGCAAAACTCACCTTTTTGTAGCTCTAGTTGCCCGGATGGTGTTAAGACCTGTCAAGGTCTCCGAGAAATGAGTGTAGATAGGAGAGAGGGTGAGACTGGAGAGACGCTTGAGTTCACGTGAAGTGCACCGGTAATAGCGTTGAACAGAATAGTAGACGACTGCCAGAGGCAGTAGAACTATACCAATCCAAGGCAACCCATAGGTGATCATCACCAGCATGCCCAGCAGCCCAAATATGTTGGCCAGAAAGATGTTGAGAATGAAAGGCAGGCTGTCATCCACACAATACAAATCGGAAGAGAAGCGGTTCAGGATACGGCCTGTTGGTGTGGTGTCAAAGAAAGTCACTGTGGCCTGGAAACAGAGAAGCGAGAATGTAAATAGTGGGCTGTTATACCCATGACTTGTAGAAATCACTCAATGTGAGGAAAAGTATGCATTTTATATTTTTATTTTCTTCTTTGTGTCCTTTGTGTAGTCCAGGAAATTGGTTCAGGAGATTTCTAGAACTGAGAACTTTGATGGAAGCCTAGTTCAGAACTTGGAAAAGGTACTATTTTGGACTGCAACTCTTAGAATCTCCCAGCTGTCAGAGATGTAGTCCAGAACAATAACTTCCTCAAGGTATTGTGATTGTAATCCAGAACAATGCCTTCCTCAAGCACGGTTCCTATCCACTGACACACAGTTTGTGATGTAGAGAAGGTTTTAGACCTGCTCATTTCTGTTTTACTCTTATTTGGCTTGGGCACATTCACATAAACTAGCAAACCACCATGGATTTTCTACTATGCATGTCAAAGTAAGGTCTGATAGCAACTTAGCAAACTAGAGCAGTTTATTTGCATCGGGAATGAGATGTTTCTGTCTGAGAAATGACTGTTTAGGGGGAAAAAACATAATCCAGTGTAGATTTAGAAGTGTACTGTTCATATTTACTATTAAAATCCATTATATAATACAATACAATGAGACTTTATATTTATTAGCAGGAGGAATGTGATTTTAAAACAAAACAAAACATTAATTTAAAAAATCCTCCACCCAAACAGTTCCCAGCATCCAGTGTTGTCCTGTCTGGCATGCTTTACCTTCATCACTCTGCTGAGTAACCTATTGTGAATTACTGTTGCAGCATGAATGGTGCCATAGGCAAAAAGGAAGGCCCGCAGGATCGTGAAGACAGAATTTGCCCCAGCAATGGAACCATACACAGTCAAGTAAAAGTTCACATCTGAAGTGCCATTGGGAGACATGGAGGCCAAGACTGGGGAACTGTGAAGGAAACAAACAAAACCAGTCAGTGTGGACATTTTTCAAGGTCAGGCCTTTTCCCACTCCCTCTCCTAGCTCTTAAGCAGAACTGATAGCTCCCAAAGTGTGAGGGGAAAGAGTATTCCAAGGAAAGTTACTGTAGGAACCCTACATCCTGCTAATTCTACTAAACACTGCCTACCTCTCTCAGTCAGGGCAAAACATGGGATCTATTCCATGCGTTGTCAGGAGTGGGTGAACTGTTTCCAGGGCAACCTCAATTGTCCTCACTGAGGTCTCATAACAAGTTTTATGCACACTGCAGCTCACCATTGTTTTGGGCTGAGGAGCTGACAACTGGAATGTCCAGTCTCTTACTGCAGGGAGGCTCACAATGACAAAGGTTGAAAACTCATTGGCAGTCTTCACAAGCTAACTCCCATTGCCAGTATATATGTGTTTCCCATTGTCACCACCCAAAGCATTCCAGTTCTCATCTGCCCTGAGCGATGCTTCCAACTGATTGTTTAATTTTTCTTTCTCTTCTTTTCTAGTTTGTCTCTCTACAGCTCAGCAGCTATTTGGGGGAGTGTGTTGCCCTACCTGTTATATGCCCTCTTAAAAACAAAAACTCCACCAAATGGATACTAAAATGATCCCTATGTTCATCACACATGTGCATTCATTGACATATTAGATGCCTGGGTTCAGCTCACAGCTTATACCAACGTACAGGAGTCCTCCCTGAGAGAAGAGCAGCAGCTGCGAATTAATCAGAATGGGTAGGTTGCTGGCAGAGGTGTTTTCTGTATGGGGTAGGCTGGAGATCCAATTTGACAGCCACCAATCAGAAACGTTCCTAGAAGCTGCAGAAAAGCACAGGTGTCAGTCTTTGGAATTTAAGTCCATCTGTTCAGTCACAACTTAATTAAAAGCCCTTTCACATAAGTATTGAGGTGGAAATTTAGTCAAAATGTCACTCTCACCATCAGTATTACTATGAGAAATAAGCCATGTGGAAGAACTTTATATCATGGCTCTATAAATGATTAGAATACAGTGGTGCTTTGACTTACAAACTTAATCCGGTCCAGAAGATGGTTGTAACTCGAAATGGTCATAAGTCGAAGCACCATTTCTCATTGAAATACACTGAAACGTGATTAATCCGTTCCAGCTATTTTTTGGTTGTATCTTGAGGCGTTCATTGCAAATCGAAGCATTTGTTCCCATAGGAACAAATGCAAAAGTGGTTAATCTGTCCACTACTACTAGGGGGTGAATTTTTCTTCTTTTAACCTAAGATGACTTAAGTTAAAAAAGATGCAGGAAAGGAGGGAGAGAGGGAACAATGGGGAAAAGAGGAAAGAAAGAAGGTCATCACTGGGGTACACAGACCCCTCCGACAAAAGTTTGTGCTGTTAAGCACAAGAAGAGAGAGAGAAGACAAGGAGGGGGACTTGAGTATAAACCACATTTTACACCATTCCAGCAAGCAGAGCCCCTTTTCTGATTTTCCAACAAAAATACTTCGGAGTCACATTTTAAACCCACATATTTTAAAACAAAAGAGAGGTCACAGTACACAAACCCCAGGAGCCACAGAATGCAAAAATAAATAAATACATCCAGCAACAATTATTCCAGCAAGCGGACCTCTCAGTCTAATTTTACATTTTAAAATTACAGTCTAATTTTTACATTTTAAACCCACACTGCAAGACCCATCAGCACAGAAACATAACCTCCCCAGCCCAAAACCACGCTGCAAAACCTATCCAGAACAGGCAGTTTTTACAAAGCAGAAAGCAGCACCTTACCTTACTAGGCAGTCCGAAGCCTCCCTGCAAACTCACACACTCACTCAGAAGCAGAAGCTAGGCACCAAGCCTCGTCCGATGCAAACGCTTTAACCGTTGGGGCAAACGAGCTACAAAGAACCTCTTCACCGACCAGCAGTTAGCCCTCTAAATTTCCTTTCCCCCCTGCCCCTTTTGATCGCAACTCGAAGCTCCAGCTGCAAGTCGCAGCAAAATTTTGCAGCCGGAGCTGGTCGTAACTTGAAATGGTCGTATGTTGGGACGGTCGTAAGTCGAGGCACCACTGTACAAGTAGGTGATCTACTACTAATAAGAATGGGCTGGGGATTTCTCTGTATGTTTTTACAAAGCAAAAATGCCAGGAGTGGTATAATATATATAAAACTGACAAAGGTATGAATAAATACAGTAAATGCATTTTGCATATTTTCATTTTTGTCTGAGAATGAAAAAGAGGTGCCTGTACCAAGAGGTACAGAGACGGTGGGGAAGATGTATAAGGGAAGAGAGACATGGGGTTAGTCCAAATGTAATGGCAAAATATGGTTTCCCAGTTTAGTGGCAGCTTGCATGAGCCTGGGGGCTGTGAGTGCCTCCCCTTCCTTCTACCTCAGTGGTCAGGGAACAGGGGTAAATTACCCCAAATGGGATAAAAATGAAAATCCTGGGGGTAATGAGGATGTGACCCTAACGCCCTTCCCTCCTCTTCCACCTCTTCTGCCCGGAGGGGGGTCCCCGGAAGCCCAATCATCCCCCTTCCCACCCCCTTCTCCAGCTCGGCTGCAACCGAACCACAGCCGATGGTGGCCGACGACGGGCGGGAGGTGGTGGCGGGGCTGGCCATGGTGGAGGGCAGGTGGAGGGCACGGCCAGGGCGAGTGGCTGGAGGGCCCTAGCCAGAAGGAGCCTCTCCTTTCAGTGCCTGGAGAGATGGATCACAGTGGGGAGGGCATGGCCGTGATGGGGTCCTGGGCCAGGCTCAGCCTCCTGGCGCTGGGCCGCCCCCCATCCACATCCCCGGAGGAGCCCGTTGGGCGGCAGCATCGCTCGCCCAGCCGCGTGGCTTCCTTTGGCGGCGCCTCTGCACTGGCCAGCCGGGCCTGGAGGAGCATCTTGCCCTCCGTGTGGCAGGTGTCACGGCGCTTCAATGGTGAGGCCCGTGGCCGCTCCAGCGAGCAGCCGCCAGAGCCGCTGCCAGAGCAGGAGGTTGTGGCGTGTGCCTCCAGAGGGCAAGCCACCTGCTGCTCTTCGGCAGTTGCCCAGGAGCTGTCCGCTGGCGGAGAAAGGGACTAAGCACGGCAAAGAAGGAGGAGGCCCGGGCGGCAAGGCTTGCGTTCAGCTGGCTGCGTGGCAGCGTTCAACTGGCTGCGTGTGACCCAAAGGAGGAGGAGGCCCAGGCGGCGAGGCTTGCGTTCAGCTGGCTGCGTAGCAGCGTTCAACTGGCTGCATGTGACCGAGATCCTTCCTTTCAAATCAAGGGGGCAATGTCGGCGAATATAATTTTTTTAGGGAGTAAAAGGTAAAAAAGTTCCCTGACCCCTGATTTACATGTTAGAGGAGGAGATCAAAAGCCACCTCTTTCATGTTACATTACTCAGTTTTGTTGGTCACCCAATTTGTAAACAACCCCCAACTTCAACTAAGGTTTGAGAGGTAGTCAGAAACCATAATCATGGTTTGATCCTGGTTTGTCCTGACTAATCATAATGGAAACAAACTTCAAGCTTGAATGCTAGGAACTGTACAATTTAAAAGCAAAAGGAGATGCTTTCAGTCTTCTTGCATAAAGTGTGAAAGAGGACAGGATGCAAGCCAGAGACTCATACAAGCTTGTTTATGCAGCAGGAATCTGTGGTTTTCTGTTATGTCTGAACTAAATTGCTCTCTGCATTCCATAGGAAGAGGACGATAATTGTGCTAAGTGAATTTCAAGAATTCATCCATAAACTAAGCAAGATGACAATGCAGTTTCTTGAGCTCCTGCAAATAAACCATCTGTTTGACAAGGGTGCATTATTGCTGTGAGATGAAGATCAAGAATAGGTGAAAATGTGAACAGGCAAAGAAGCAGGTGATAATCTTACCTTGCATCAACAGCAAGGAGAGAAGGACAGATAATGCTAGGCAGCTGCCAACTGCCAGCCAATATGCTTGGTAGACATGGAAAGCCACTGCTCCTTCTTTCTTCTCTTCCTCTTGCTTCAGAAGATTATTTACTGGATTTGGTTCTTCTTCCTCAGACTCCAGATCTTCTTCTTGGCTGTATTCAGTGGGTGCTTTGGAAACATAAAAAACTACAGGTCACAGGACACCAGAAGATGATCTTGTTGGACAGGCAGGTGGCTTAGAGATCTCTGCAAAGCCTCAGCTGTCTTTTACAGCACAATTCAAGCCAAGTGCACGTTTCAACAAAGAGTTCAAGGACAATATCCAAATGGGTATACTGGAATGTACATGTGTTCCCCAATGCTTCCTGATAAAAACAACAAGATTCTTCCTTTTAGGCCAGCTAACATGGCTAGCTATTCCAAAATTGATTCGTAATAATCAGGACCTGTACCAGACACTGTTTTTACCATTTGTGTGAAGGATCCCCATGTCCTGTCCCAGGATTGTACATCTATTGAAGATGTACCATATTTCCCTAGGATAATATTTTGTGTTTTGGAAAACGTATCTCCCACTCAAAAAGTACATCACTACGTGCTGATTGACTATGACTGCTGCAGTATCATAAACATCCAGCGGTTACCTCTGTAATACTATAGGCAATACATTTCATTCTGCCTTTTCCCCTTTAAAGCTGAAGCATTTTCTGCTACATTTTCAGCTCTATTGAAAGGCAATGAAGACCTGCAAGACTACACCTCCCTCACCAGCTCTACCCTCTGTTTGTTAACTTTACCTTTTAGTTTTTCATTTTTTGGAGGACAGGTGTTCCTCTGTCCCAGAGCAAGAGTACACATATTTTCTAAATTTGTCTTTAAGCAGACTTCCTACTACAGCCTCGTTCTTCACCTAATGAACTGCATAGAAGAAGATGCAACTCTGTTTTCTCTCCACAGATATTTACAGATATCTCGGGCTAAGACTAATATGCAGTCAAGGTCTTGCTTCAACTGTGTGGAAAAGCCCTACCTAGGATTTCCAAGATATTCCTCTCTTTTCTGTTGTCTCTTGTAATTTTACCAACTTTGAAAATACAATAAAGATTGTGCTTAACTCATGGTCCCTCTTTTTCTTACGTTTACAAACTAGCTTTATTTCCCATTCTGGTCCTTCTGCGTCCATAGAAAACTAAAAGATACAAAAGACTGAAATCCTGTTGCTTAGTATAATAAACCAGAACCAGAGTAGTCCAACTGAATCAATGAAACTTACAGAAGGGTTGACTCACCAGATCCCCACTGATTCAGGGGACTGCTCTAATTTTGACTTACTACATTGAGCAAAATAGGATTTCAGCCAAAGATTTACAAGTGTTTTGCTCATTTGCCAAAGATACAGTCCTACAAATATCACCCTGAAAATGTACTTACTTTTGTCCTTCTTTCTCTTGTCCATCTTCCTAAGGTTAGGGGCAGACTGTACCAGTGGCAGAATCTCAGTTGGGGTTCCTAGAAAAAATAATAGTTTTAGAAGAGTTAGCCATGTTAATCTGTGCTAGCATATCAGGCAAAAACAAAAGTAAATTAAAAAAACATAAATACTGTGGCACCTTACAGACTATTATATTTATATGTGAGCTTTCATGGACTAGTCCACTTCTTCAGTAAAAAAAACATAAATATTGTGGCACCTTACAGACTAACTATTTTATTTATATGTGAGCTTTCATGGACGAGTCCACTTCTTCAGACATAAGACTTCCTTATGTGGGAAGTGGACTTCCTTATATCTGAGGAAGTTGACTTGTCCACAAAAGCTCTCATTAAAATATAGTAGTTAGTCTTTATGGTGCCACAATTTTTCTTCTTCTTTATTTTTCTTTTATTTTTACCTGACATGCTAGGAAAAAAAAAGAATCAGATGCACTTGCGTTCTGCAGAGATGATCCAAGCACTGATTACAGTGGCACCTTGACTTACAAACGCCCTGACCTGCAAACAATTTGACATACGGACAGCTCTGGCCGCAAAATTTTGCTTTGACTTGCAGCCGGAGCTTTGACCTATGAACAGAAAAAAGGCAGGGGGAAAGGGCGGGAAATTCACATTTCTAACTGTAGGTGGCGAAAGAGGCTGCTTCTTGGTAGCTCTTTTACCCCAACAGTTAGGAAAAGGCGGCGGAGGAAGGCCAGGTAGGCTCCCGGAGGGCTATGGGGGGTGGTGATTTCGGCCCCAGTGGGCCCGCGGGGTGGTGGAGGGAGGCTGGGAAAGGTCCGGGAGGGCAAGGGAGGGTGGCGCTTTTGGGCCCGCGCCGCGGTGGAGGGAGGCTGGGAAGGGTTCTGGAGGGCAAGGGGGGTAGCGGTTTTGGCCCCGCTGGGCCCGTGCCACAGTGGAGGGAGGTTGGGAAGGCTCCCAGAGGACTACAGAGTGTGGCAATTTTGGGGCCACATGGCGGTGGAAGGAGACTGGGAAGGGTCCGGGAGGGCAAGGGAGGGTGGTGGTTTTGACCGTCCCAGAACCTTCCCAGCCTTCCACCACCTCCATGCAGGCCCAGCGGGGCCAAAACCACGGGGTCTGTCCACGCTGCTCGCTTCCCGGCTGGGCTCCAGGAAGCAGAGCCTGGTTGGGAAGCGAGAAGCGCGGATGGACCCTGCGCCGGGAGTAAGAGCCCGGGTGGGAGGCGAGGACCCATCCCAGCCGGGCAGCAGCAGAGGTAAGGTCTTTTTCCTTTTTAAAACACTGTTCTGGGCAAGTTTTGGAGGGTGGGTCTGGACTGGGGGATGTTACTGTTGTTTTGTTTTTGGATTTGTGGTTGTTTTTTTCAGTCCTAGCGTGAGACTTGGTCTGTTTTTTATTATTTTAATTTTTTGGAATTTTTTTGAAATGCTGGAACGGATTAATCCTGTTCCCATGGATTTCAATGGGAAATGGTACTTTGATCTATGAACATTTTGACTTACGAACATCATTCCGATACGGATTAAGTTCGTAAGTCAAGGCACCACTGTACTCCAAATCTGATTTGGAGTTTGAATTGCTTCACTGGAAGGCCTTTCCATTCACAGAAGAGTGTCTGTCCCATTAAAGAGTCCCATTTGATGGAGGGACAAGATTTTTGCTATTTTCCCCTGCAACTACAACACCACTTTGCATAATGTTTGTGTGCCCTCCCCACAGCCAGCAATTTTTCATTTACACGCCACTGTTACATTCTGCAGAAGGGAGGACAGAGAAACAAATCAGGTAGAAGGCATTGCATTATACCTTGCTTGAGTATCCTGCCATCATCCATTAGCAGTAAAATATCAGCCTTTTCCAAAAACTCAATTCTATGGGTGCAAAGAATCCTGGTCTTATGCCTCAGAATTCCCAGAATACACTGCTGCATGAGATGATTAGCTACATCTGCATCCACAGCTGCTAGTGGGTCATCAAGAAGATATATTTCTTTCTCCTAAGGAAAATAGATACAGTATAATAGATCCAGTCTGTTCTGATCCAGAACTGCAGAGAATGATAAAATGACATCAGCAGAAAATACCTCCTTCCTCTGTGATCCCAGGTTCTTCTAATGGCCATGACTTGCTTGTGGCTCAGTAAGGCCACAAGCAGCAGAGCTAATCTTTATGCTTCATCAGTTCCATTTCTGCTGCCTAGTTGCTCATCCACTCATTTTCTTACCTGGTAAACCGCTCTAGCAAGTGCAACTCGAGCTTTCTGTCCTCCACTGAGACTAACTCCACTCTCGCCCACCATTGTCTGATCACCTGCTGGCAAAATCTAAACATTAAACAGACAAAAGGAATGTAATTTAACAGCTATTGAACGGATACAGTGAAATACAGGAAATTTATATCCAGATTTTAATCATAGCACTAAAGCATCACAGACAAGCAATTAGGTACAAAACGGCTGCCCAGAAACCAAAACGAAAGGATAATATTTAGCATTATCAAAATCAGATTTTGGCCTCATCATTTGAAACTCTGAACATTGTTAGCATTGTATGGAACGTAAAATAATAATCACAGAAAAAATGGGTCTGTGATTGTACAATAAATTGATGATAATTAAATTATTGAACTTATTCACAGAAAGAAAAAGGCATCTTTCTCCCAGTTGTGAAAAATTGTTCTTCCTTTCCAGTTTCCTTCAGCTTTTAACTGAACACAATAATATATACAAAGACAGATCTTTAGGAACTATGATCCAATGTAGCTTTCACTGAAATCAATGGGGTAAGTTAATTAGTTTAAATGATGTTTGACTATATTGATTTAAACTTGGGGTGGCCATCATGAGAAACTTTCTCATTGTTGGAGCAATTTTGTAAAAACAACAACAACAACAATATCAGATTAAGAAGTCATAACAGAATTTGAGATGAAAGGCTGTTGGTTGTACCCAAGTTTCCAAATATGTCTGTTGAAATATGAAGTAAGAAAACAGCCTGAAAGTCCACAAAACCTTGATAAGATTACTATGCTTAAGTTTAGGTGGTCTTTTCCTCCGTATATTTACCCTGAGACTGTACCATTTCATCCTCTGTTTCTTAAAAGCATTCCCTGCTCCCAGGAGTTCTGTACATCACTTATTCTCATGGTCAGTCAGGTGTTTTAGAATTCTGTAAATGCTGAAACACTGCTCTAGAACAATATGATTGTTGGTGAGCTTTGAGGGATATATCATTGTCATAGGACACTCACATTCAAGTCATCAGAGAGAGCACAGGCCTCTATTACTTCCTGATAGAATCTGGCATCATATTCCTTCCCAAAGAGGATGTTTTCCCGGATGCTGGTAAACTGAATCCAGGGCTCTTGTGTGGCCAAGCCAAATCCTTTCTCCAAATCCTGAACGTAAACCTGCTGACCTTGACTGCACATATCCCAGTGATAGCCATCAGAAACAATGGGGGGGGGCAAGAGAGAGAGGAATAACATAACATTGCCACCAGAGCATGCTTAGAAAATGCCCTTCCTGTGTAGTTAAATACTACTATTGTTAAATCAAAGGCATATTTATTTTAATAAAGAAACTTTGCCCCTAGAAGCTTATTGCGCTATCCACAAATGAGGAAAACAACATCTGAATGAGCCCTGAGGTACTGGGATGCTCCATGGGCTGCTGAAAGTATGCATGGTAGAGCCTGATCAGTTGCTTGGATTGAAAATTATTGGGGTTTCCATGTGTGAAAAGTTATAAGTAAAACAAACACATGAGATATTGAGCCCGAAAAACCCACAACAACCAAAACATGAGATATTATTCAAGAAATATTATGTACATACTCAGAAGCACTGTCTTCTTCCTTGTTACATTGCCTACTCTGGAGCCAAGACCTGGCACATAAAATAGGTTTAATAGCTTCTCGCTCTGGCCCTATAGGCCCAAGGAATCACTGAATTCACCAGAGTACTCACAGTGAACTGAAAGGGATGACAGTAATTTAAGAATTCCATTCTGAGCAAGGTGTTTGTAAGTTGAGCTGCAGGGCACCCATGTTGGGGGGGGGGACGGGATACATAACCAGTAAGGAAGACTTTGTTGGACAACACATTCAGTGGGGAAATGACGGCATGTTTGGCTTTGTTTTGAGAAGCTGCTGATATGAAACATATTCTGGTTAACTTTCCCCTTGCAAGTTCTGAGCAAGTAGAAGCTGCTATTAACCTCTGGGCTAAGTTCAAATATGACACAGAGTTTTAGTTCTACAGTATATCTTTTATTGTAGAGAAGACTCCCTCACTTTATCTTACCTTTTCCCTCCTTTTGATTCTAGCTTGGCCTCTTACTTTCAGCTTTCCCCTTTGTTTTCCTTTACTTATTCTTTCAATTTGTTCCTCCTGTCCTATCAGAGACTCAGAGATCCTTGGGCCTGCTTACTTATTACATTGCAATAGCTACAGAGACAATACAGTCCCATTAAATACAATACCATTAGAGCAACTAGGAAACAGGATGCTTTTGAACTAGATGAGCTCAAGGATATTTTAGAAGGGTTTGCTGTTACATAAAGGGTGGTTTGATATATTACTATTATTCCTTTATTCACATTGTATTTTGTTAAATTTTTAAGTCACATTCCACTACCTTGTGTAATTACAGTCAACTTTTTATATAGCTGATCCTTATGCAATCAATATACTGTGAATTTGTTTGTTACAGTGATGAGTTTGTGGTCATTCTCCATGATTTAGCTGTACCCACAGGGTGCAAATTAGTAGAACTGAATTCTAGTTTGAATTAAGCTGTAGGTCTAGCAAATGAAAAGAGCAAAGTGGCACTATTTACCTTCTGAGTTCTCCAGTGATAGCTGCAAGCAAAGTGCTCTTTCCACATCCAACCTTCCCAATGACTCCTACCAGTGCACCCTACAGATGGAAAGAAGCACAAAAATATTCACAGCTTAGTTCTTATGCTTCTTTTTAAACTGTGAATCATTCATTCATTCAGAGTATGCCTTTTATCTGTCCACCTATTAAGTACTAAACCTTCTGAGTTCTCCAGTGATAGCTGCAAGCAAAGTGCTCTTTCCACATCCAACCTTCCCAATGACTCCTACCAGTGCACCCTACAGATGGAAAGAAGCACAAAAATATTCACAGCTTAGTTCTTATGCTTCTTTTTAAACTGTGAATCATTCATTCATTCAGAGTATGCCTTTTATCTGTCCACCTATTAAGTACTAAGTGCCCCATATGTCCCTATCTTGCTATGCCTCTTTTTAAACTGTGAGTCATTCATTCATTCAGAGTATGTCTTTTATCTGTCCACCTATTAAGTACTAAGTGCCCCATAAGCAGTAACAATTTACTCTATCAGTGCTCCTTTTGCTTACCTTTGGCACAATCAGATCTTGAATAAAAAGTTGTGAACCTCCTCTAGGTATGTATGGTTCAATGTTTTCTTTGCTTGCTGGTGACCATGAGAAGATGGAGTGGTGCATTTCCAAGGCAGAAGACAGATCAGAGGGTTTGGCTGCAATGGAAAAGCAACAACAGCCATAGACATGTACTTTCTGATAGATCAAGAATCATGGAGTTGGAGGAGGCATATAAAGCCATCAAATCCAGCCCCCTGCTCAATGCAAGAATCCAAGCCGAAATATATTTGGCAGGTGATTGTCTTTGGCTGCAAAAGCAACAACAGCCATAGACATGTACTTTCTGATAGATCAAGGATCATGGACTTGGAGGAGGCATATAAAGCCATCAAGTCCAGCCCCCTTGCTCAATGCAAGAATCCAAACCAAAATATATTTGGCAGATGGTTGTTTAATTTTTTCTTTGAATGCCTCCAGCGTTGGAGCACTCACCATCTAATTAGATCTGTTGTCACACTGCTCTGTAGGTATTCAACCAACATCAGATTTTTTTGTGGGGGGGGATGTAGAATCACTACTGCACTCGCCATTTCCCAAGGTAATTAGATCTGTTGTCACACTGCTCTGTAGGTATTCAACCAACATCAGATTTTTTTGTGGGGGGGGATGTAGAATCACTACCTAAATCTTACACCAAAGAAGAATGAATCTTTCTTAATCTTACCAACAGCTTTTAAAGCCTAAAGGGGAAAACATCAGCCCTTGGCCCTTAGGGGAAAAAATTAAGATGAGTTGCTGGGAAAACAGGAAATGTGACACAGCAGCTGAGAGCTGCCATGCAAGAAAACTGAACAGCACTACCACCGATAGAAACTTGGTCATTTCAGGTTTGGCAATGCTGGTATGCTATGCCACATACACTTCTCTTAGGTCAGTGAGTATTTCTGATCTCCCTGCCCACTCCACCTTTCCACTAACCCACTGGGTATTATCTTCAGTATTTTAAAGCAAGAAGCTAAGAGGAATACCCCCTGTTTTTATTTCAGAGCCCTCAACAGCTACTGCAAGCACATTTTCCCCTTCTAACAGCCAGCATGAGTGGTAACTACCAACAAAACTGTAGCTCAGACAGGACCACTGAAAAGAAAGAGGTAGATAGATGGCAGTATGTCTGGTTGGGAACCCCAACATTTGCAGAAATGTTTAAAAGATATTTTCAAAAGCAAAAGCAGACACAACTTTTAAAAAGCAGCCAATTCAAAACTGGATGAAAAGAAAGAGGTAGATGGCAGCATGTCTGGTTGGGAACCCCAACATTTGCAGAAATGTTTAAAAGATATTTTCAAAAGCAAAAGCAGACACAACTTTTAAAAAGCAGCCAATTCAAAACTGGGTGTGCTCAGCAGTAACAGAATGCTGACTGTCAGTTGGAGAAGACAGAAACCAGGAAGAAGAAACAGAGTCTTCTAGTGCACTGGTTCTTAACCTTGGGTTACTCAGGAGTTTTGGACTGCAACTCCCAGAAGCCTTCACCACCAACTGTGCTGGCTGGGGTTTCTGGAAGATGCATTTCAAAAACATCCCAGTAACAAAGGTTAAGAACCACTGTTCTAGTGCATGGCTGGCTGGCACCCTGACAGAAACCAGGAAGAGGAAACAGAGTCTTCTAGTGCATGGCTGGCTGGCACCCTTAAAGGCACAATGGCCTTTGGAGGGGAAGATATGCTACAACATTTTATCATATAAGTTAAAGATTAACATTCATTTCTAGGCCAATTTCATAAGTCTTGGAAAAGGTACTGTCTTGGATTACAGCTTCCAGAAGCCACCACTTTTGCCATGCTCTGCAGATTCCATCGCAAAACAGCATAAACAAGTAGCCTCTCACCCTTTTCATATCTGCTTATTACCATACCACACCAAAAGTACTTCTGTTCTCATTCTGGTACCTTTCCACGTTTCTTCTTTCCCACTTCCCCTGACTGCTGTACCTTTGCTGTAGTAAGCATCCAAATCCTGGTCTGCAAGATCAAGAAAATGCTGGATTCGATCCAGAGATACTTTGGCTTCCAAGATCCCATTCAGCACCCAGGGGAAATTATTGAGCGGGAGAATGACCATCCCAACAAGTGCCAAAGCAGTGAACACCTATGATAGAGAGGAGGGTGAGGGTGTGAAACATTTGAGGACTGAGAAACAGGGCAATATTTTAGCACTGGAGGAAATAATGAAGAGAAAACAAATCCAGATACACTTTTACAGCTATAAAGGTTATAGTCAGCTGTAAATGTACCGATGGACCTTAAAGGTCTGTGTAACAGCGACTGGACCGGACTCAAATTCTGTACTCAGAACTGGGCAAATTTAAGTACATTAGGCTCTATGCCCATTGTTGCAAAAACCATCAGAGTAAATTACATGTATATGAAGAGCGAAGAGAAGACTATCCTTTCCAAATGTTTCAGCACAGTAGCTGCATGATCTGTAGTCAGTTGCAGAAAAACAACATTAGCTCTTGCAAGTACCTTAAAGATTAACAAAGATTAAGATTTGTGGAATATAGCCTACTTCTTAAAATGAAAAAGTAGTAGCTTTGATGATGGCTGCACACTCCTATATGCAAAGATATTCCTGGTAGGAAATGAGAGGGCCATGTTTCATCATCCTTCTGGTAATGGTGGAAATGGCAGCAATACAATACAAGCAGTTAATTGTTTAGCCTTTTTTTAAAAAGTAACCTTTTAAAAGTAATAGTAGCTTTCAAAATAAGCTTGGGAAATAGAATCTGACCACAGATGTCAATGAAACAGTCCCCAGATGGTGGGAGGACTGCAAAAAAAGAGGACTCCATAGTTCAGCTCAATGTGTGGGCAAGTTCATACGGAAGAAATAATTTTAAGTATCCTGGTTAGAGATGGAGTATTCCTATACAAATACGAATACCCCCGCACAGCTGGACATACCAAGGGTCCAGGCCCCTGGGTCCGGACCATCCACTCACCACTGCTGGCAGCTCCACTCTCCCTTCCAATTGCTCTGGAGCTCATAGTCATCTATCCACTCCTGGCAGAATGCCACATTCAAAACTTAAGTGGAGGAATGCCCCGGAATAGCCACGCCACTTACCTTAGTTGCTGAGAGTTGATGTCCTAGTAGAACGTAAGTGATGAAAATGACAATGGAGACAACTACAGGCAAGGCTGCCCAGAGGTAGACGCACACAGCATCTAAGTACTTGAGTGCTTGCAGGCTTTTCAACTCCTTGGCTCGGCAAGAATACACTCTAGTACCAAAATGGTGTTCCCAGGTATAAAACTTGATCACTCGCATGCCACACAAAAACTCTGTCATCAGCTGTGAATGAAGATACAGCAGGGCAGTTATATATATGTGTGTATTGATTAGTGAGCAGTGCTTGCACATTACTACCTGACAGATCACACAGAACTCATTATTTCTGTTATCTAATATTATTTATGATTAATACTGAATGTAAAGGAAGATGGGAATCAGGGCCTCTAAAAGACCATATCCATGAATGCTCCTTCCTCAACTAGGGAATAAGGCCATTCAACCCTCCCAAAAGAACAATTGCTTCTTTCTCCTTTTCTCTCCATATCCCCACCCTTTTAAAAGTTCTTTTAAAATCATGGTGGATAATGCATGACTCAGGGGCTACATGCCACCCTCTAGCAATTTCTGTGGCCCCCCCATCAAGTCTTCGCTGTACTGTACAAAAATCTGACGCAAAAATCAATGCTTCCAGTGACAAAAAGAAGGCATGTGCTCCCACATGCCATGTTTCATCATCCTTCTGGTAATGGTGCATGCCACCCTCTAGCAATTTCTGTGCGCCCCCCCCCCCATCAGGTCTTCGCTGTACAAAAATCTGACGCAAAAATCAGTGCTTCCAGTGACATTTCCAGTGGTAATGGTGGAAATGGCAGCAATACAATACAAACAGAAGTGATGGCAGCAGCAGTACTAAGTGGACCCATAGTAGGCTCTGGGGGAAGCTATGGTGTCCCACCTACCTCTAGAAGACTGCTTTCCCCAATTTTGGATTTTAAGTCTACAAGCAGGGGCCATCTTTTTTTAAAAAAATTGTATGGAAACCACCCAGGAAGCATTTTAAGCAACGTATTGGAACAATTAAGAAGCACGCCTAAAAGCAAGTCCCAGAAAATTATGCTTGCATATTACCTTGACACGTGCATCCTTATGCTTTAGCATCTCCTTGTTGTTTTCCAATATGCGATTAGCAATAACTTTATTGATGGGCACAAGTAACAGAGCCAGAGCCAGTCCACCCAGGAAGGCTATGCCTACCTGTTGGTAAAGGAGGTAGAGAGTGATGGCAAACTGGAAGGGAAGACTCCACAATTCATGAAAACTGAGGCAGAAGTTGACCAACCGATCAGTATCTGTGCTCATAAAGTTGACAATCTCACCTGTGGTGAAGCCAGCTAAACTACTATCACTCACGCAAAGAGCTTTCTGATAGATAGCAGAAATGACTGCAGTGCGCACAGCAAGCATCATTTTGTTGATTTCATAATTAAACTGGTTACGCAAAATAGCACCCAGGAAGGAACCTGCAAAGAGTCCCAGAGCATACATCAATCCATGGCTCAGAGGTTCTTGCCGTGACTCCATGAAACTGACCAGCAAGTTCAGAAGGAGGGGTCCAGAAAACCCCAACAGACTGCCAGCCAGTTTGAGAAGGCCCAGAGAATAGTAACGTAGGCCAAAAACGCCATGCAACACTGACAAGAGACGTACAGACCTTTGGGCATTATGAGTACATGCTGGAGATGAATATTCACCACTTTGTGCAAATAATCTGTCAGTGGATGATGTAGTGTTCTCTTCCTTTTGAATAAGCACTGCCTTTTCTTGCCAGCAAGATCGGAAGCGCTCACAGATTCTTTCAGTCTGGAGTTGTCGAGGAAGCTGAAAGACATCTTGTGGCTGATTCAGCATCCATTGGTAGCCATGCTTCATAAGGGGGTTCATCCAAGCATAAGAGAAACGAGAGAGCCAGCTCTCTCCATCTTCTGCTGTTCTCTGCCAAGCTGGTACAGAAATCTCAGAGGCTGTGATCAGGAATTCATGCTGCCCAGAGTCATTGATAGAAAACAAATCTTGACTGCCAACTACAGGGATGATGTACCCTACTATATAAAAAAGCAGAGATGTCAACTGGAAGGAAAGGATAGAGAGTCTGAAGATAGTAAGAGGCTGAAGGCGCCGATCACCCATCTCACTCTGGCAACGCCACACTAGAGTGATGATAAGGGAAGGGATAGTGAGAAAGACAAAGATCAGTAGAATTGCTGGTCCACGCTTGTAGCTGTAAGGAGACTTGTAAAAAGCAAGGAGTGCCAAGCCATGTGTAAGCCATGCCAATGTTGCTATGCCATCTGACAGTACGTCCAGGTATAAGGGATCCAATTTCTGTCGCCAAATGGTTGCAGCAATTATGTCAAGAATGGGCAAGCCAGCAAGGACAAAGGACACAGCAATCCTGCACTTCCACCCAGGTCTGTACACAACGTGAGAGCCTAATAACCTAGAAAAGAGTGAAGAGAAAGCATTAGAGTGCAGTCACAGTCTTGTAATGTCCCCCCCTTTTTTTTTGGTTCTTCATGCTTAAAAATCTGTGAGTCTCACTGTCCATCCACTGAAACTGCATTTAATGCACAAAATTATGGTGATTATTTTTCTTACCATTAAACAACACACACATGCAAGATTCAACCTGCAACCATGTCCTTACTAAATAAGTTAAAATAAGATAACAGTTTTAAAGCTGCTCTTTAAATCAACAAGGCAAACAGTCAAGCAAATGATAAATCAGGAATAAAGTTCTGGTCTTTGTATGCCCTCTAATTATACCTTGGTGTTCCTATGTAGCAAGCACTGACTACAGCAAGGGTTATATGGGGGAAAACATTAAAAATCAGCTGATTAAAACAGTGCCCAATATTGCCATTGACCCAGAAAGGAAGTGGATCTATTGGACTGGTTCTACACAGTTTAGCCAAGATCTCCTCCATCCTTCTTAAGGAACAGGTGCAACATTCAAACTTTCCTAGGAGAAAGCAGAGGAAGACACTGGATTAGGAAAAGAAAAACAAAAACAAACTGTAGTCCTAGCTTTATTATTCCCACAGCAAAGAGTATTTTTACAAATGTACCTTCTCTCTTCTTTGTAAAAGGACTAAAAACTGAAATCTAGAAACAACCCATCAATTCCCTATGAATATTAATTATTCTCTAACTAAAGAAAGAGTAAGAGACAAACAGACAACAAATTTAGAATTCATCAACAAAACACTGTAAATGTGGATAAATGCAGCCATTTATTGAAATGGTAAGAAGATAGAGGGATAAGGGGAAGTCCAAAAGCAATTTGTGGTAAAATACTGTACTGCGCAGCAATGATTCACCTTGTGGCCAGAGTAGCTGCATGTAGTGGCCTAGTAGCTGTAGTAGCTGCATAGAGACTAGCCCAGGAAAAGAGCAGAATTTGTATAATGCATTAGAAACGTTACAGCAGAAGAATTTCCATATGATTGATATAAACTTTCCTAGTACTGTAGTAGTAGTAGGCATCCTTCAGTCTCGAGAGACTATGGTAACATACTTTGAATAGAGGTCTTGGAACAATGTCTAGTGTGGCTGAGAAGGCCAATTCGAGAGTGACAATCCCTTCCACACTGAAGACAAATACAATCTGTCCCCTGTCCAGCTCCCTGATTCTGCTGATTTCAGGACTGCCTCTTTGCATCAGTATACCCGCACCTAGAGTCATGCCTCTCCCCCACACACACATTGTTTTGTAGAACAAGACAAACAATCATACAGGGAAAATATTGTTCAAATCATTCCAGCTTTAAAAAAGTAGTAGCCCCCAAGAGGAGGGGGAAAAGCTCTGAATAGGAAATATCATGTGGTCTCTGAAAAATACTTTGAGCCCATCAGTGCTATCGGTAGAGCAACTCTTGAACTCTTTGTCAGTATAGTTGCAACCAAAGATTAATCTATTCACTTTAACCCCTCGCCAGTGACTTTTTAAGGAACATATGCCCGTTTTAAAGATATTGGAAGATCAGTTATGCTTAATAATGTATATGATTTATAATAACAGTAATAATTACAGATATTATAATTATATAATTTATTATATTATAAATATAATAAACAATGTCTAATATTATTATTAGAAACTCTTTTCTATTATTCCTTTTCACATTCCAAAGTAACAACAAATCTTGTGGAAACTGAAAAGTGTTTTATTAGAAATACAGGGGGCTACTCCATAGAAGTTTATGCTTAACAGAACTTATTTATTTATTTATTTAATTAAATTTATACCCCGCCCCTCTAGACCATGTCTACTCGGGGCGGCTAACTTAACTAGCCTTTCTTCTTTTTCTTGGCTTCTTCCAACAGACGAGCCAAAGTACCACCCCAACATGCACATGTTCCAGAATTCAATCTTGACTGTAAAACGGGATTTCCGTATAACTGAAACCCGGACACCCAACAAATGGAATTAAGGGTCGTTGCCTCTCTGGATAGAAGCGGATACTCGAGTACCAACTGCTCTGCAATGTGAAGGCGCAACGGCTTTGGCCGTGCAGTTCAGTCCCAAAAGCCTCTTTTCAGGAAGGCAGGCGGGCAAGAAGAGGGCAGCATGCAGACGGTGAAAGAGGCTGCCCCTCGGAAGCGCAAGGCGACCGGCTTGAAAAGAGAAGAGGACGCCGCAGAGTCCCCACCACCACCCCCGTTTGTTTTTCGTGGGGGGAAGGATTGCCCCGAGCTAGAGGTGGGATATTCGTCTCGATATTCGAAGATCCCCATCTCTACCTCGGGGACCCTCGTCGCCAACATTCATCGAGCCACCCACCCAACTTACCACGTATTATTACCTGGACCAAGCGCTGGAACTCCGAAGCCGGTTTCTGTCACAGACTTAAGAAGAGACACCTTTGGACCGGAGACGAAACTTCCTGGTTTCTTTCGCAGCCATGTTTTGTGTTTTTCTTAACCAGGATTTTCGTGTAGCCGGTGGCCCTCGCGAAAACGTGGGTCAGTCTTCAAGGAGGTTATTCTGTTTCACCTTGGTATAGAAACATCCCTAACAAAACAAAAGTAAAAACATCAACTACTGTCTGTCTGTCTGTGGAAGTGGCTTGTAATCTAGGGAGACTCGCGCCGCCATAAATCTGTTAACCCTTAAGGTGCCACGTTTCTTTCAATGTGAGTTTTTGATTTCGTTATACATGCCGACACGTGTAAAAGTGAGACTGGGCGGACAAGCATTTTGCTGTGCTTTTAATTTTTCTTTTTACACTAGCGAGGAACTGAGAAGCTGGGGTTTAATAAAATGCTTATACTATGCGTAGATGCACAGCCCGAGATGCGTGACGTGGTGAGGCTGAAAAGGTGGCTAATGCCCCTGCCCCGTTGTGCTGCCTTATCTTTCTCAGGCTGGAGTGGATCGTCGTCATTGTTGTGGACACTCGAGTGCTGTTGAAGGTCAGAACGACTTACAATAATTTTTTTTTCAATAAAAGTCCTTGGTTTTAAGAACTTTTGCCTACTATTTAACCTTTTATTAGCAAAACAGACCGTGACCGATGGAGGCTTCCGGTGAGAACAAAAACCACGGGACACAATTACAAAAGTAGTGGGCTCTGAACATAGGATCTACCTTTTAGCTCCACTTATCATAGTCGCGTTGAAAACAATATGCGAACATGTAACCACAAACCGCTTCTCATTTGGCAAAGAAGATTATTATTTCTATATCCCGCTCCAAAAACCAACCAATAACGCACGCAGATATTCTTTTTCAGATGCAATGGAGAACACGAATAGAAAGAAAAATAGACCCGTATTTCTCCTCCTCTATGGCTCTTTAGTTCCCCACCCCTATTGGACCGACTTATTGTGGGCCTGGCGGCCTCTACTGTCTGGGAGGACACTGCATAACAATATACACGCAAGGGTTAAATTAAGCAGTTACGTAGCCCGAAACACAGAGTCATGGCGGAAAATATTGGTACCCTTGCAATTCTGTCAGAAAATGCAGCCCTTCTCTCAGAAAATTGTTGCACTTGTATGTTCATTTTTTTGGTTTGCATTGGAACAACACAAACAAACAGAGAAGTCAAATCTGATGCAATCCCACACAGAAACCCCAAAATGCACTGGCCAAAATTATCGGCACCCATAACTTAATATTTGGTAGCACCCTCTTGTATCACTTCCTGTAACCATGAATGAGTTTCTTACGCCTCTCTACTGTAATTTTGCAAACTGCTCCAGGACCTTCAGATTTGAAGGATGCCTTCTCCCAACTCCTGTTTGGAGATCTTGTAACTGCTTTGGTTGCTTCTTCTGGTGAAGAGAAGCAGACAAACCCAAAGCCCTAAGGCTACATATAATGGTTTGGTGGCCACAATCTCTCCACAGGTGTTCTATGGGATTCAGATCTGGACTCATTGCTGGCCATTTCAGAACTCTCCAGCGCATTGTTTTTAAACATTTCTGAGTGCTTTTTGAAGTGTGTTTCAGGTCATTGTCCTGCTAGAAGGCCCATGACCTCTGGTGGAGACGCAGCTTGCTGACACTGTCCACAATGTTGCACCCCAAAATTATTTGGTAATCACCAGATTTCATGATACTATTCACACAGTCAAGGCATCCAGTACCAGAAGCAGCAAAGTAACCCCAAAACATCTTTGAACCTCCACCATGTTTGACTATAGGGACTGTGTTCTTTTTTTTTGAATTCCTAATTTCGTTTTATGTAAACAGTGTCATGATGTCCTTGACCAAAAAGCTCTACTTTTGTCTCCTCTGTCCACAGTACATTCTCCCAGAAGGATTGTGGTTTTGTCACATAAGTTTTGGCACACTCGTTTTGCTTTTTTATGCCTTTGTGTCAGCAGTGGTGTCCTCCTGGGTCTCCTTCCATAGCGTCTCTTTTCATTCAGATGACAACGGACAGTGCGAGCTGACACTGTTGTACCCAGTGTCTGCAGATCAGCTTGCATTTGTTGGGAAGTTAATCTGGGTTCTGTATCCACCATTCAAACAACCCAAACTGTTGTTTGCAATTATGTTTCTTTTGCTCACCTGGTCTTTCCCGTGGCACATCTAACATACTAAAGGAGCCTTTGCATTTCATGTCTGCATACATTTTGTAACTGGCAGTTCCCATGTGCTGTGCAGCCTCACTTCGTTTTGAAGATGCACATCTTTCACACAAATTTGGCTGCTCCTCATGTCTTCTCTTGTTTAAATAAAATGTTGGCCCCACTAAAGATTATGTGTTGGGTTTTTGAAGGGGAAATGTCAGCATCTTCATAATTAAAATAATCTCAACATAAATTTAATGCGCTATCCTACAAAAAATTCTAGTGAAACTAGCTAGAGGAATAGTCATATTATTAATTATTAATATTAACTCAAACCCTTGTTACGGGGTGCAGCAGAGAACAGGACAAAGTGTTCTGAAATGCCTAGTTGCCTAGAACATTGAGGAAAGGAAATTACAGGAATATTGCTCTAAACCACTGGTTCTTAACCTTTGTTACTCAGATGTTTTTGGACTGCATCTCCCAGAAGCCTTCACCATCAGCTCTGCTGGCTGAGGTTTCTGGGACTTGCAGTTCAAAAACACATGAGTAACAAAGGTTAAGAACCACAGCTCTAAACAACCCCTGTCAAGATTATATGGAAGACATGAATCACCCAGCCAAAGAGTCATCTGCTAAAAGGATTGTCTGGAGGTCTGGGATAGCAAACACCCTAGAATGGTGTGCATTTCTGTAAACAGAGTCATCCATCTTCTTCCTATGCACTGTCTTTGGACCAAGTGGGCAAATACTAAGATCAGAGCAGAAAAGGACACAGGACTAAAAAGGGTCCAGATTGCTATCAGACTGGCCAGAAACCATCTAAAAGATGCACAATAGCCATACTAGTTGTTCTGGGTGAAAGTTCTGGTATGAATCTTTTGGGGTGCCTCTTCTTCCTGTGCTATCTCTGTGTGAACCCTGCTCCTTAATTTCTGAGCTGAAATTGCTGTCTTCACCCCCTACACACAAAAACCAGGATTTAGCTAGAGAATCCTGCTAGCCAATGTTGCTTTCCTGAATTCCTAGTTTTTGGCTGAGGACCTCTGCTAGCCTGTTCTGTCTTCTGATCTTATCCAAGCATTCCCTCACATTGGCCAAGCTGGAGCCCCAACATTCCCCAGCTTCAAACAAGTCTTAAGAGATTAATTTTTTCCACTCCTAATCTACTCTCTGGGAGTATTTTCCCTGCCTGTTGGTTGCTCCCCAGTCTACCCTTTTTCTTTTGTATGTGCATATGTGTGGTTTAAGGGAAGATCCTTCTTTCCTTTCCTTATTCTTGTGGCACCTTTGCAAATAGTCTGCTCAGATACTGCAGATCATTGCACAGCAGCTTGAGTCTCAGAACTCTCTTAACCATGAGAGTTTGCTTCTTTTGAATCTGTATTTCCCATATTATATACCTTATTGTGAATCTCTACTATATTTTAATTGTTTTGTGTTCAATCAAATTCCTCTTATGAATAACTCTGTGTGAGTGTGATACACTCAGCCCAATCTGTGTCAAGATCAGATCCAATATTTTTGTAGTTCAAAGATCCCTTACCAGTGTGTCTCCAAACATATATCAGTTTGTGCATGTGCTCTGAGAGGATACCTGGTAACAACTCTATTGGGGAATAACAAAAATTACATTCAGGTGCCATAAATGCTAAAACACATTTGCTTCCAAAATATTATGGAGAAATATCAAGTGAACGAAAGCAAAACTCATAACTGAGAGGGCAACTGCTTGGAGAAGAAGAGAGAGAAGAAGTGGGGAGGGGGACACAATAAATACAGTATACAGTATTGCCCTAGTGGCAGCTTTAGAAGAGGCAGCCATGTTAGTCTGTGCTAGCATGCTGAACATAAACAATAGTTTAAAAAAACTGGTCTGAAGAAGTGGACTTGTCCACAAAAGCTCGCATTAAAATATAGCAGTTAGTTTTTAAGGTGCCACAACATTTTGTACTTTTTAAAAAAACTTGTTTTGCTTTTCCCTAGTAACACACTTACAAACAAGAGGGAGAAGAGATGGGGGAGCAAAAAATGCTTTTATCTGTTGTTTTTATTCTTCCTTATGATATGAGGAAAGTACTCTCAAAACCAGATTCAGAATTCTCTCTCTTAAGTTTCACTATGCTGTCTTTAACAGGGAGGCACTATAACCTAGCTGGAGTAATGCAGGAATAGAGAAATCTTAAGTAGAAATCCCCCCAAAAAGGATAAACTAACAACCCTGTTTCCCTGAAAATAAAACCTAACCTGAAAATAAGCCCTAGTATGATTTTTCAGGATGCTTGTAATATAAGCCCTACCCCAAAAATAAGCCATAATTAAGTGAAAGCCCACCCTCCACCATTGTGCAGCAATCAGAAGACAATGTGACTGTATTTGAATAAACATAGATTGTACATGAAAAAAAATAAAGCATATCCTGAAAATAAGCCCTAATGCGTTTCTTGGAGCAAAAATTAATATAAGACCCTATCTTATTTTCGGGGAAATGGAAAAGGTCCTAGGTGAGAATCAGGACTTTAAGAAAATAAAAGTTAACAAGATTCTCCAGCTAAATCCTGGGTTGTGGGTGTGAAGAAAGTGAGTCAACTAAACCTGATCTCTGGGAAGTTTACAAGCCTTCAGTTAAGTTTTTGTTGTTGTTGTTGTTCTTGTTTAGTCGTGTCCGACTCTTCATGACCCCATGGACCAGAGCACACCAGGCCCTCCTGTTTTCCACTGCCTCCCGTAGTTGGATCAAATTCATGTTGGTAGCTTCAGTGACATTGTCCAGCCATCTTGTCCTCTGTTGTCCCCTTCTCCTCTTGCCTTCACACTTTCTCAACATCAGGGTTTTTTTTCCAGAGATCAGTTAAATTGGCTCAAAGAAAGGTTGAGCAACTTCAAGGCGAGATGGAAACAGCTTATCCCTCTGCTGCACCAGAACAAAAAATATGCTCATCTCATGCCTTTTTATGGTATTCTTGGCCATGATTTGCTAACATGACTGGAGCTCCTCATGAACCATGTTATGGACATGTTCTCTTTCTCCACTGGTTATGATATATTATAGTGTAGCAAACCACACTAATCCTTTCTGATGATAAAATTAGGAGCAAACAATAGAAAGGGTGGCTGTGGGTGACTGCTGGAGGATATCAGAGGATGCTTTGCTTCTATTCCCTTCGGGGTGTGTGATTCGGTTCATTTACAAATTTAGGCAGTTCCTCTGTTTTGGCAGGAAAAATGACTGAGACCTTTTTGTAACATTCATAATGTCAATTTTACTAACTCTTGGCATTTCTATTATTCCTTCAACCGGGTCGAAACATGGTAGATTAGGTAAATGTCCATAACTTGACAAAGATAACTGTTCTTGTAAATTTGGGTAACTTACTGGGGAGCTGGACCAAATCGCTCCCGATCCATGGGATTCTGCAGAGGGGCACTCTGTATTGCACATATGGTGCCACAGCATGGGTGTCGAGCCCAGTCCCCCTCTTTCGGAGGCTTGTTGTATGTTGAATCTGGCCAGATCACTTTCTTTCCCCTTGTCCCCGTGGGAAAACAATTACTGTCCATTCTTGAGTCTCAAACGTTGTCTCTACTTCTCCTTTCACCTCTGGGTCCAGCAATAAACCACCAACCTTTAAGTTGTCATCACTTTCCTCCCAAGAAGCAGGCGTCTTTTAATTTCGTGGCTGCTGCCACCATATGCAGTGATCATGGAGCTCAAGAAAGTAAAATCTGTCACTGCCTCCATATCTTCCCCTTCTATTTCCCAGGAGGTGATGGGACCAGTGGCCATGATCTTAGTGGGTTTTTTTTATGTTGAGTTTCAGGCCATTTTTGGCACTCTCCTCTTTCACCCTCATTACAAGGTTCTTTAATTCTTCCTCACTTTCTGCCATCAGAGTGGTATCATCTGCATATCAGAGGTTGTTGATATTTCTTCCGGCAATCTTAATTCCGGCTTGGGATTCCTCCAGTCCAGCCTTCCGCATGATGTATTCTGCATATAAGTTAAATAAGCCGGGGGACAATATACAGCCTTGTCGTATTCCTTTCCCAGTTTTGAACCAATCAGTTGTTCCATATCCAGTTCTAACTGTTGCTTCCTGTCCCACATATGTTTCTCAGGAGAGAAACTGGTCCCATCACCTCCTGGCAAATAGAAGGGGAAGATATGGAGGCAGTGACAGATTTTACTTTCTTGGGCTCCATGATCACTGCAGATGGTGACAGCAGCCATGAAATTAAAAGACGCCTGCTTCTTGGGAGCAAAACGATGACAAACCTCGACAGTATCTTAAAAAGCAGAGACACCTTGCTGACAAAGGTCCCCATAAGCAAAGCTATGTTTTTTCCAGTAGTGATGTATGGAAGTGAGATCTGGACCATAAAGAAGGCTGACCTCCGAAGAATTGATGCTTTTGAATTGTGGTGATGGAGAAAACTTTTTAGAGTCCCCTGGACTGCACGGAGAACAAACCTATCCATTTTGAAAGAACTCAATCCTGAGCGCTCACTGGAACGACAGATTCTGAAGCTGTGGCTTCCCACACTGGAATTATTTATACTTTGGCCATTTCATAAGAAGAGAAGACTCCCTGGAAAAGACCCTGATGTTGGGAAGGTGTGAAGGCAAGAGGAGAAGGGAATGACAGAGGATGAGATGGTTGGACAGTGTCATCGAAGCTACCAACATGAATTTGACACAACTCCGGGAGGCAGTGGAAGACAGGAGGGCCTGGCGTGCTCTGGTCCATGGGGTCACAAAGAGTCGGACATGACTTAACGACTAAACAACAACAAAAAATCCTACAGATGCAAGAGACAAGAAATGGGTAATAAAGCAGTTGGCACAGAACACAGCTTCGCGCTTCTCCCTCCTTCCGGCCCTCCTCCTTTCTTTCCGTTGCCTATCACGTAACTCAAAGCCCGCCCCCCGACCCTTTTGCCTCTCGCCGTTTATTTTCTCTGACGCTTTCACTCTGCTTTCTTCCTTTCGACCCCGCCTCTCGTTTGCTCGCGACACGTGACTGCAATTCGCCATCTTCGAAGGACCGTCCGCAGGAATGCCCCTCAGCCTGGCTGCGGGCGTTTGTGTCCACTGCGCACGCGCAGTCCGGACTGGGCCGAAGCGGGTGAATGGTTAGGAGAGGGGGAGTGAGCGAGCGCGGAGAGGCGAGCGGGCCGGCCATCGGCCTCCTCGGAGGGCCGTCTACGGCGCCGCTCACCTCGTCATGTACTGGGCCGGTACCGGCCACCCCGACATGTCGTCCTCCAGCCGGTCCAAAGAGAGCAGTAGCTCGGGCTCCCGCAGTTCTCGATCGGGTGCCTCCACATCCAGCTCGGGCGCGGGGCCGCCGCCACCGCTCGCCGTCCAGCAGCCGCTCTTCGCGTCGCTCGCCGTCCCCGCGCCGCCGCAGTAGGGTATGCTCTCCGCCCCGGGGGGAGTTGGAGCTGCTGGGGGTCCCAGTCAAGGCCAACAGGCTAGCAGGGGTATCGGCCTTTTGAGGAGCCGGCCTCAGGAAAAGTATTCCCCCTCCCTCAGCTTTGCCATTCCCTCCCCCGGCCATGGTAACGGCTGTTGCCCGCCCACTCGCCCCGCTCGCCTCCAGCGCCTTGCCGCCCCCTCAAGCTTCCCGTGCAGATCCCGTTGAAAGCGCGCATCCTCTCCTCCTAAATATGTGGTATTAATAACCCTTCTTTTTGGACTAGAGCCGAGCAGCTGCTCGCGTGCCCAGCCATTTGTGTGGGTAAACACAACCTTTTCTTCAGCAGAGGCACATCTTCTGAACCATAGCAATTGTAAAGGAAAGTATAGTTTGTCATAAAGTAAAGAGCAAACCAACACAATGGTGCAAGTCTATGTAGGTCTTATCGTTATTCGTTAACCTGGGAGTAAGCCTGATCGAATTTAATAGGACTTACACCTAAATAAATTAATAGGACTTACACCTAAATAAATATGTTATATATAGACCACAGGGTGGTCTGTATAAAATATTCCAACTGAAAACAATAGAATGGATGAGTATAATTAGCATCAGTAAGAGAAACTATGGTGTAAACTGATGTTTGGAAATTGATTCAATATTATTTTATTTAGTTCTTTAAAACTAGTTCTTTTTAACCTGCCTTTCTCCTTAAAAAGGACCCAAGGCAAAATTAAAAGACTGCATTCACTCAAGAAAAAGCTTGTCTGAAGAGAAAGGTCATTTTCTTGCTTGCAGAAGGACAGTAAAGATGGGGCCAACCTCGTCCCCTGTGGGAAGGGGCTTCGCACAAATGTATGAAAAATAAGAGCTGGTAATATATACCGGATATGCTCACTGGAAGGACAGCTCCTGAAGCTGAGGCTCCAATACTTTGGCCATCTCATGAGAAGAGAAGACTTCCTGGAAAAGGCCCTGATGTTGGGAAAGTGTGAGGGCAAGAGGAGAAGGGGACGACAGAGGATGAGATGGTTGAACAGTGTCTACCAAATGGAGTTTGACCCAACTCTGGGAGGCAATGGAAGACGGGAGGGCCTGGCATGTTCTGGTCCACAGGGTCACAAAGAGTCGGACATGACTTAACGACTAAACAACAACATGATATACCAAAAACTGAACAAGATATAAATAGAAAAGGTGGTAGTCTGGTTTATATGTGGACTGAGAGTAACTTTCGCTGAACATCATGGAATTTGATTCTGCACATGTCTGTGTTTCAGGCTGTAATAGTATACATATCTATTACGGAATAAAAGTTGGTGTACATAAAAAACACAAGTAGCTGTACTGATTAATAGTGAAAACAAAATCTGCAATTGAGCAGTACCTTTTCAAATGATCAGATGAAGATATTGTCCAACTGGATGATTGAATATACGATGGAGTTACTTCTTTGATTGCAAATTAGTATAGCAAACATTAGCATACCTACAATTAGCATATCTATATTTGCATTAGTATAGCAAAATAATTCTAACCATGACAGATTTTGTGCTTGATTTTTCCTTGTTAATTTTGTAACGTGTACAGGATGCTAATTGGAGTAAAAATACATTTTAGCTCTGTATCAATAATAGTCACCCTCTTTGTAAACAAGTATTTGAGAATGAAAGTGATTATTTTGGAGACAAAACAGTTTGTATTCGCGAAGACTTTAATTTATTTATTTATTGATTTGATTTGATTTATATCCCACCCATCTGGTATATTTATACCACTCTGAGCGGCTGAGATCTAATGGTTGTGGGTTTTTCGATCTCTTTGGCCATGTTCTGAAAGTTGTTCTTCCTAACGTTTTGCCAGTCTCTGGCTGGCATCTTCAGAGGACGGCACTCCGACTGAAGATGCCGGCCACAGAGACTGGCAAAACATTAGGAAGAACAACCTTCAGAACACGGCCAAAGAGCCCGAAAAACCCACAACAACCAACAAAATTGTTTCTTCGTTGATTTATTAATAGCCCTTTCTGTGTGTAGATAAATTTACTGTTATGAAATCCAAATAACAGTTTAAAAGGGCTTTTTGTTTATTAAGAACTTCCTCTCACTTTTTGCTTTGTTCTGATAGGTCTAATTTGTTGTGTGCCATCAAGTTGCCTTTGCTTTATGGTGTCCCTATGAATGATGGACCTATAAAAGGTCCAGTACTGAACTGCTCTGCTCAGCTCTAGTTAACGGAGGCATCTGGTTCTTATAAGGAGTCAAACCATCTCATATTTGGGCTTTCTCTTTTCTTGCTACCTTCAACCTTTCCCAGCATTACTGGTTTTTGTGGTGAATCTTGCATAATGTGCCCAAAGTATAACAACCTCTATTTCATCATTTTTGCTCCCAAAGAAAGTTCAGGCTTGATTTGCTCTAGGACACACTTGTTCATCTTTCTAGCAAATCCAGAGTATCATCAAAGCTTCCTTCCAGGACTGTATTTCAAAGGAGTTTTATTTTCCTGTCAGCTGTTTTCACTGTCCAGCTTTTACACCATTACATAGTAATTAGTTGTACAATTGTGTGGATGGGCTTGGTCTTAGTGATTTATCCTTACACTTAGTGATATTTTATAATTCCTTGATTGCTGCTCTTCTAAGTCATTTCCTGATATCTTTGCTGCAGTCTCCATTTGCTGTTTGAAACAAGGTCTAGAGCAGCGGTCCCCAACCTTTTTGGACCACAGATCAGCTAAGCATCTGAGGAAAGTGGGGCATCCCCCTGCCCACACACTCGTGGGCACATGCACACAGCGGTGGGGGAGCATGCGTGTGTGTGCCAGTGCCAGCATAAGCACTCCTCCACCCCTTCGCACATGCGCAAGAGCGTCTGCATGCCCTGGTGCGCATCCACCTGCCCCTTCACTCGGGCGCATGCGTGACAGGGTGAGGGAGTGCTCACGCCGGGGCTGGCGCATGTGCGCAAAGCAGCAGTGGGGAGGGGAGTGTGGGCGGGGGGTAGGAGGTCTGTTTCCGTGGCCCGGTCTGTCTCTGGTCACGGACCAACACTGGGTGGCAGACTGGGGTTGACGACCTCTAGTCTAGAGCAGGGGTCTCCAAACTTTTCAGCATGAGGGCCACATCATGTATGCTCCACATTTTTGAGGGCTGAAAGAACAAGCATGCAGGCCTTTCCTGAGCCTACTATGTTCGCCGGGCTGGATAAAAAGGCAAGGCAGGCCGGATGTGGCCCATGCACTGTAGTTTGGAGACCCCTGGTCTGGAGCCATGGTTCCTACTTGGGTCCCCCAATGCAACTAAAACTCACAGAAGCCTTCACCACTAATCAATGGATTAGAACACATTGATGTCACCATTTAAGTGTGATGTAAATGAACATATTTTAAGACTGGAGCAATTGGCCCATTTCACTTGCTGAAAAATAAGGATCTAAGTAAATGGCAAGAGACAAAGATGCTGTTTTCCCCCCCAGAAAAACTGAATTTGATTTTTTCCCCCAGTACCTTATAGAATCTGATTTTGCTTGTTCTTTATAATGTGGAATTTGTTCTGGTTAACACAGTTTATACAGAGAACGAGATATGCACACATTTTGCAAATCAATAGACCATATATGTGTCTGCTTGAAATTCATTCACTATTATAAATGGATTTGAATACACTGTACAATAGTAATAATAACATTGCAGATGTGTATCAATAAAAGCCAAGATTTAAAGACTGTGACACCAAGACACCTGAAACTTGATATGCATACTGAGGGGTATTGACTTAACTGTTATTTGGCATTTATAAAATTAGATGTAATTGCAGATTTGAAGCCTACTCAACCATTCTCAGTCATTTAGGCTATCTTAACAAGCAAATGTGTTTGCAGTTAATACAGTGTGAAAGCAGTATGATCAGGTTCTCGATCATTATTCTGGAATGAGCAGATCCTTCCCATATAGAATTATAGACATCCACTGTGCTCATCTGTGTGTCTGGGGTTGTCATCTGCTGCAGCTTCATTGAGGATGACTGTTAGTATGTTAAGTTGACAATGTGTGAGTTTGCTTGAAGTCATTGGTGACTCAGATTTGGTATTTTCTGTGGGCAAGCTTGTGCATGTGTATATGCAGGCATTTGTATCAGTAGACTGTTGTTAAAAGGAGAGAGTTCTACTTCCTTGAGATAATTGGCTAACTGAAATGCTCTCTTAGAGTTCAGGTTTGAAGTTACGTGTACTAATCCATTATGGAAGTAAGTCATTTTATTAGCTTTTTGATTCCTGCAAGTAGCTATTTTCTGTGGTAGAGAATTTTGTATTGTGGAAAATCTATCTTGCATCACTGACTGCAAAATTAAATTGGATACCTATAATTGATTAAAGGGCACTGTTTTAAATCTATTTAACATATGTACACATTTGTTCCCAGATGTGTTTTGTGGAGAGGACAGAAGGAGACACATGGTATTCATTTCAGGTTGGCAGTGACATGCAGCAAAATCAGTTGATATTAAAGTGGCACTGGCTTAGTTCTTAAGTGTCATTATATACAGTACTTCATTTCAGATATATTTAACTATGAAGTAGGAATTCTGATGACTGGTCTTAACTAACAAAGTAGCTAGTATGATGGTATTGCATTTTTCTCTAATTCCAGAGGCGATCCCCAGGACGGCGTTCTCGATCCCCGGGACGGCGTTCTCGATCCCCGAGACGGCGCTCTCGGTCCCCGGGACGACGCTCTCGGTCCCCGGGGCGGCGCTCTCGGTCCCCGGGGCGGCGCTCTCGGTCCCCGGGACGGTGCTCTCGGTCCCCTGAACGGCGCTCTCCAAGTCGGAATTCTGAATCTTCAGTGGAACAGAGTTTGCGGATAACTGTTGGAAATGACCGATATGGCTTTGACACACCTGAGAGAAAGAGATTATCTGATAGACTAGGCTCCCCGGTTGATAGTCTGAGTGATGTAGACAGGTATGATTTTCTGAAAATCAGTGTACTACTTGGTTATTGATGAAACATAAGATAATTTTAATGCGATTCTGTACAAAATGCATTGTATGAGTCCTAAAAATCCTACATATAGGATACAGTTTGTAACTCTTTTGTGTTTAGGTTTCTGTTTATGTTCCTAGATAATCGTGAAATGCAGAGAAAACGTTTTAATGTGATATTTGTACAGTGATGTGTTATTGAAAAGTGTAGTAATAACAAATGCAGGAATCATAGTAATAATACAGTATTATAATGATTTTGTTTAATTCATATGTATATATGGCATATATGTGCTGCACAAGTGCAGTAGCATAAATCACAGCTGTGCATTAATATTAGTTAACAGATTATTACTTGTATCACTTGATGTGCATCCATTCACATGACTGGTATGTGATGAGGGATTTAAGCAGTAACTTGTTAACTAGTGGTAATTTACCATTACGGATCATGCCATTGCACTTACTGTGGCCCAACTGAGTGATAGAATTCTGGCTGGTATCTATAAGTTAAGTGCAAGAATACACAAATTAGTACGTATTAGTACAGTGGTGCCCCACATAGCGACTATAATCCATGCAGCAAAAATCGTCGCTATATGGATTCGTTGCTATGCGGAAAAAAAGCCCATAGGAATGCATTAAAGCCTGTGTAATGGGCAAAAAAAATACCTTTATGCGAAAATCCTCCATACGGCCGCCATTTTCTCTGCCCGGTAAGTGAGGAATGGGCG